GTGCAATAAAGTCCCCTAGGATTAGACATCGACCACTTTGTGACCAAGTATTGAGATTGCTTAGCAGAACTTCATTTACATCACAGCTTGGACTGCGATAGACCAAACTAATAAGTAGCTCTTGTCCCTTGCATTTCAAGCGGCAACTAACCAATTCACACGTCCCACTCTCATGGGATACACTGTCGATAACGGCAAATAGGATAGCATTCCTAATGAATAGAGCTACTTCCTCTCCTTCACGCTTCTGTATTCCGTCGGTTCTTACTAACGTAAAACCCTCGAAATCAAGTTCCATACTATCTATAGTCTGTGTCAGCCAGGTTTCTGTAATTGCGATTACGTCTGGCTTTGTAGAGTCAACCTGTACACCTAGTTCCGATAACTTACTGAGTAAGCTCCGGGCATAAGTGTAGCAGATCCGAAGTCTATTTAAGTGGCTTCGTGCTTCACTCAGAGTGGCTTCGGCATCATTCTCTGTCGAAGCCTCACAACCCGAAAATTTACAATTTTTAGGTCCTTTTCGCCAGCGTCTAACCTAAGTTGTAGTTCTTTTTCGGCTTCCCGTCTTTTTACACGGTCTGCCAACGGTAAGTCCTTTCGGATAAAGACTCTTGAATCTTTTAATTTGTGTCCATTCTGTAAAATTAGGTCACGTTCGTTCGAAGATTTGAATACTACTTTACGCAGTCTGGAATGATTTGGTTTCAAGTCCGCTAGACTCCCTAGTCTGTACACCTTTAGCAAGGTGACCCCGGTGATATTTTGAGGCATGAGACGGGGAACAGAAGAATCTACTTTCCATGAGCTTTTGTTTAAGGCAGGCTACTTTGGAGATTGATTTTTTTCTTTGACCGGCGTGAGTCATCTATTATCGAACTAACCTTAGTTTGCTTCATGTCGATTTGTGTGTCTTTAGATCGAGTGCTGTTTGACGTGTTCTGACTACGCTTGCTAAAACACTTCTTAGCAGCATCAACTAGTAAGATGGTCTCAGTTAACAGGCTGCTTGCATCGGAACAGCACTGTTGACAAAGCCATACGCAATCCTTTTTACTGAACAGTTTAAAAGCCGCAGGCGTTAAGTTCGTGCAAACTTCGTGGTACCAGCTTTCGCACTCGTCGCACTGCATGCCGCTTTCAAAGGGGTAACGACAACACGGAAGTTGGCAACGGCTTTTTTTACACTGTCCGGTCATTTAAAAGGAGTCCTTTTCAAAAAGGAATGAGGTGCAGTGATACTCAGAAACAAAAAAAATAACCAATGACCAAAAAGTGAAGAAGTGTAGATTATTAAGACCAAAAGTAATGAAAGACACAATTGAAAATGAGGTACCCAAGAGTACCAACGACAATACTAATTGAGAGAACGGTAAAAACGGTACTCTAGTCGAACACTTTAACTGAAATGAATTCAATTAAAGTGAAAACAGTAGTCATGATACGTAATAAACGATCAACACAATGAAATTTGCTCAGCAAGGAAATAAACCTCTGTCCTTTTTAAATGGTGCACATAGGTTATAAAAAAATATGCCATATAGCAGTAATGGAGGGGTTTCACTCATTACGTAGTGCGTTAAAGCAAGCTTAACATTGTAAAGCCGAAAATATGCTATCGGTGTGTAATGTATGTCTGCTGTTTTGGCCATAAAAGGAAGCCGAACGGTCATGATTAGGAAGTAAAAAGGTAGTTAACTGTTATTGAGCTCGCTTTTCTATAGATCATATTTCACCACTCGCAAATTTGTGTTTTTTTTACGGTATGATGTCAACCGTCATCTAATATGTTCACCCTTTCAATGAAAAGTACCTGCCAATTCTCACCTTCATATTCGAATTATTTTTGGACAACTATCTTCCAGTTTGAGTACTTAGTAAACCCTAGGAGACTAGATTTCTAGTGTTCCATTAGTGTTGGAAGTGGCATTGCTTACCTATCATATGGCATTTGAATAAGAAGCTATGAGATTAGACGCAGGGACGGTTAGGATGTGTAATGCGTGTCCATCCGCCAGCTGACGTGACAACTCATGGTGGTTAGAATAAGTTATGTGAGGACTCGAGTCTGTAGGTTTCCCGAGAAAATGACGAAGATATGTACTAAATCACTTAAATTTACCATTTCGGGTTTCTTCAAAAAATGCAATAATACACAACTTTCAATAATGTTGGCATTATACTTGCGATATTTAAAAAAATTAGAATAATAATAGTTGAATATTAATAATAATAAATCGGGTCTGTGTAATTGAGAAGAATATTGAATTGAGTTTAAAGAAGGAAATGGAGAAAATAAGGGAATAGAAATAAAGGAGACGTGAAATATGCAAACTGTTTAATAGGCGTGTTTATGAACACAGAACAAGAATAAACAACTATGTGTGTATCGTTAAATTAGTAACAAAAAATAATTAGGAAAAAATAATTTATCATTGTAGTAAGATATGACGCTAGAATAAATGTTTGTGCAGTTATAGTTTAGAGTGATGCTATGAAAGTTACAATTAAGGGAAAAGGATAATAAAATATCAATAAAACCAAAACACGAAATATAGGCCAGTCGAACTTACCTAACAGAAGATAGAGGATATATGTATTGCTTTCAGGCTGAAGACATCAGTCAGTTGTTCATAAAAACATAGTTTATAGTACAACGAACCTTTCTTCAATAACATTATGCACTCATGGTCTATCCGGAAACAACCAACTATGTGATTAAACTCACTATGACCTGGGATATCATCCCAGCGTGCAATGAACGTACAATCTAACGCAGTTGGTAGTGGCGTATAAAAATTAAAAACAGCAAAATTAACAACATAATCTGGTTGTTTAATTAAAAATACACTATGAAATGACAAAATCTGTGGTTACTTGAACGCACAGATGACCGTTATTACACTGGGCGAAACATTAAGTTTACATGGTTGCGTTGCGGATAAATTCACTCTTGCATCCTGAACTCAGTTTTCAAGCTTAGTTCTCACTAGGGTTATATATGCTGTAGTGGACATGGCAGTATCCACTTTCGTGAATGTCCGTTTTAAAGCCCATATTGTTCTAAACCCCTAGCTACGACCTCCCTGCAGTGAACCATGGTCTTATGATCATGGCTCACCGTCAAACCAAGATCTTTGTGAGACCGAACCATGAGCACATGCACTTCCCCCTGGTGTACCTATATACCTTTGTATCTCCAAAGTGCATGTAAACACACTTCGGCGCGTTGATAGGCACAGGACACTCCTTGGGCCAGATTTTAATGGCCAATAGATCTGACTCCAATTAGATCGTACGAATGATTGTTATCACCTATTCTTGTATATAATCGTCGACTTAATCGCGTTAGCCAATAACGGAATTAAATAAGTCGAATAACAAGAATTGATTTGTGAATACATATATTTTGTATATGAAGAGAATGAAACAGAGCCGAGCAAAATGACACGCAGGGAAGATGGCTGGGAAGCCAACTCCATCTTAGCCAAGCGTTACTCAATATTTATTATTTACTTACTTACTTACTTACACCTGTTACTCGTAATGGAGCATAGGCCTCCGACCAGCATTCTCCAACCCACTCTGTCCTGGGCCTTCTTTTCTAGTTCCATCCAATTCTTGTTCATTTTTCTCATGTCTATTTTCATTTCCCGGCGTAATGTGTTCTTCGGTCGTCCAATTGCATCCTAGGTGTCCATTGTATCCCGTGTTTCCCTTCAGATGTTGACGTCTTCATGATCCAGTCGATCACCAGGAGAGAGAGAAAGGGTGAGAGTAAGCAACACTGCCTGGCACCGGTCTTTATTTCGAACGACTTTGTCGACTGTCCTCCATGCACGATTTTGCAGTTTAATCCTTCATATGAATTCTGTATGATATTGACTATCTTCTGAGGCACGCCGTAGTGTCGAAGAAAATTTTTTTATTCAAACTCAATGTTTATAATCAGACAAAATAAAGCTACAGACATGCAGTGAGTCATGGGATATGATGTGCACTCACATATACGCTCATAAAAAAAACAATAAAGACTGTTAAGCGAATAACTTGCAAGGTCAACATATGACTCAAGTAGAATGAGTAGAACAGAATGTCGGAAAACTAGAATAAGGTATATGGGCTTAGCATAATAACTGATACTACAAGCTAAGTCTGCCTGAGTGCGCATGACCTGTGTCTCCTGTTATTTATCGCAAGCGTTTACATCATCGTATTGCAGCATCAGGGACTCAATTATATTTGAGAATTCATTTACGTACAGTATAAAAAGTAAAGGACTTAGGACAGAATCCTGTAGTACTCCCCTAAGTACTGAACTCCAGGCGGAGCATTTTGACGATGCCACAGGTATTCGGAGTTTGACAACGCTTTAACCAGTAACACCTTCTACTAAGAATCGTACCTACCAAGTGAAATCAAAAGACAGAAGCGATGAGGTTCGAAGATATAGTTGATAAGCTATCAATTTACCGTGGATCGACTGATCTAATCTGACTAGTGATTGAAGGAGATGTTGAGCACGATTTTCCCACTCGTGATCTGGTGCGGATGCATGACCGAGCTCTCTCAGCTGGGTTAGTCCATTAAAACGACTGTGGACAGCATCCAATGTCGAAAACTTACAGAGCCATTTATTTTGGGGATTTATTTGCCGCTACTACTTCGAATTCACTCTTACGTTCTGTCTAAGACCTACCAGGAAATCCCCAAGCGATTTCAGAAGGGGTTCGACAATGCCTAGATTTTTCAGCTTCATTAGTAATCTATTTCTTGGCACCCTACCAAATGCTTTGCTGAGGTTTACGTACACACTTATTTCATGCCGCCCAGTAGCATTCCATAGTAATTGCCGTTGGTTTTCAGAATGTATCTGAAATATGCATGTTTGAAATGAATCCCTCAAACGATGCTCACTTTACAGATCATCACTTAACAACCAATGTACATCTACTATCATTTGAGGCTGATAAATTGGTTTTTCATTGGGTATTGAGTGTAAATAGCGGGGTTTATAAACGTTTCTTGACGTTGATGTTGATCTGTAGGTGGTGAGTGTTTTTTGTTCGTCCTAAAATAACTCAATAAAATGAGAGTAAGCGCAGATTAAGATAGTATTTATTTTGGAGTTTATTTCTGGATCTGTTATGAACACCAAAAACTCATCAAGTATACACAGTTTCAAAACCTTTTGGTTTCAACAAGTTAAATAATATGCCAAGATAACAACCTCGATAGCCTCGTCTTAAATAGATATGCTCCGTAGTTGCGGAGCGTGCCGTTTCAATTGTATCACTAGCTGAACTACATTTTCGTAAGAAAGATATCCAGTTACATATTCAATCCGATCACTACAAATCACGACTTTCATAAGTTGGGAGATTTAGAAGGCATATATTCACCTGTATCTTAATATAATACTTTAGGACTTCCAACCTCACTCAATTAAATGATCCGTAGTGTAGTGTCTTCCGGTTGGTCCTATGGAGATTAACTCATTAAGTCAGTGACTTGACATACTAAAATATTCAGGAGCATTATCTCACTTTTGGACCTGGAGTTTGCCGCTCTTTCTGTTAGTTTTTTTTATAATTCCTTCATTATACGTCACAACCTTAAAAAGCCGTATGCCTGTCAGGGATATTCAGTGTTGCCACAGCGAGTAACTTAAGCTCTGGAGATTTACCTACCTTTGTCAACCTACGACATATATAGGTGTGCTAAGCGTTGTGCCTAGCTAGTTGGTTTCCTCATTCGCTATCGAATAACGTACTGAAGTTTTTTGTAATATTTTCAATGAATAAAATTTAGCTTCATTACAAACGCTCTCGCAAAATTGCATCAATTCTCATGTCAAGACTGTTCTGCGATTATCCACGGCTGGTTTATGCTGCTTCAGCGTTCCTATATTCGAGCTTATTGTTTATTTAATCTTAATTTTTCAGAAACGTCATGTCTAATGTTTAACTCTTTGAACTAAACGTCCAGTTTTGGATGAGAGGTAAATGAGATGCTGGCAATTTCATCCAAAAATCCAAATGATCAAGAACTTCCATTGCAGAACCTAAACTCTTTAAAACAAAATATACCAAGTACACGTACCGTCTCAAGTTTTCCTGCTCCTGAAACTGACAACACAATTCCGATACCGCAACCCCAGTTTTCAATATCATCACAGGCGTTCAGTATGTTTTTAATCAGGTCTATTGAAAAAATCGCTAGCGAACGCGAAACCCGTAAGTCTAACAATTCAGCTGTGAAAAAGGCATGTGAGGAGGCTCTTGTCTTGCTAAAAGAACAACCACAAGTGTTACCGAGCAGTAAAATCTCGCCAGGAAACGAATCTAGCACACATCTACCACCTCTAAAATCAGACTGTGGTATATTGTTGAGTGATGAAAGACTTCTTCGTCCATTCCAACTGGCCTGTACTATGAAATCACCTAAAATTGTCAGCACAGCAGTCGATTCATTGCAGAAGTTAATTGCTTATGGTCATATTCCAAACACAGCTGTTTGCTCTTCTGGAAAAGTTCGTATAATTGAACAAGTTGTAACTACCATATGTTCATGTTTCCAAGTGAGTCCTAAGATTCATAATTTTTATTATCAGTACAGTTGGTTTTCGGACCTCAATTATTGCCAATTTATTACGTTAAGTTAATCAGTAACCAATAACTTGTATTGTTTTCATCGCTACCAGAGATCGTTTACATTTCGCTATCGATAATACTCGATGTGAAGTATGTATATCTAACAGAATATATGGTTAGGATGGATATATGTAGCCTATGTATTCCTGATCATCTACATCAAAAAGTAACTGCACATGTAGTGCTTTTATATGTATTTCATTTTCATACCAAACAAAACTTTAGTACAGTAGGCTACCATAAAGTATTTTAATAATATTAATAGTATTAAGAAATAAAAATATAAGGGTCATACATTTAATCTCACCGATGGCAAACAATTCACACTGAAAGTCGCCGAAATGATATTCGTAAAACATCCCCAAGCAACATAATTCCAACAAAACCCAATCTAGATTTGGGGAATACCACAGGATAATCAGAATCCAGGTCAGTACAGACAAAGGAGCGGCAGTAATATAGAGCTACGGCAAAAAGCTCTGTATGAGATCTAGCTTGATGTATAGAAAAGACGCTACAACTCATCTAGATATACTCTATTTACGAATTCTATTTAAGCCTCATATCTAACATATTTCTACTCAAATAGTAGAATAGATGTTTTAAGCCATTTAATCTGTTTTAAACTTGGAAATAATTAATATTACTTCAAACACTGTTAATGTTGACTGGATGACTTATTCAATGTACAGTAAACCGGAGAACCATGTACCTATTTGTATTCGATAATTTTGATGTTTGATTATATTTAATTAAAGAAGCTTGAACCAGATTGCCAGGCGAGATGTTAGATTTACTTCAGATTATTTCGCTGAGATTTTACAAATATATTCTTCCTCTTTAATGTCTCACATTAACTCGGCGCCCAAATATTGTGAAACTATGCGATCAAATTTAAACGAAAGTTCTTATTTAGTATTCTCGAGATTTACAGGATCAGTGTAACTCATATCTACGACATTTTATGAAAGTTCTTATATTTCCATATTGTTTCTCTAAGTGCAACCACTTTTCAGAACAATTATATTATTTTGTCAAATTTTTTCACATATAGGGTGTGCAAACTGATGATGGCATTCAGTTACAAATTTTAAAGGCACTCTTAACTGTAATCACAAGTTCAGTCGTTGAAATTCATGAAGCTGATATCCTTCTTGTTGTAAGAACCTGTTATAACATTTTTATGGCTACAAAAAACCCAATTAATCAAGCAACAGCACGTGCAACTCTTACACAGATTATTAGTGTATTATTTCAACGGATGGAACAAAATGCATTTGAAGCAGCAATTGCAATTAACGCACATATTTCTCTTAATTCTGATTCAACTAGACCAGATGAGTGTAACAAGCTTGAACAATCGCCTTTGGAAAATTCAACACAAATATCATTTGAAAATGAATCGGATTCGCTAAAAGTAGGTTATCCCCCGATCTAATTTATCAGGAAAATCTTAAGTTTACATGTGACTTTTGTTTCTGACGTAGTTGCTGATTTTCGGCGAAACAGACACACTATTATTCTTTTGATTTTCAGATTAGGATTGATCACTCCTTGTTGGTCACTAAAAGATAGCTATTGTTGTACCCTATCCTGTAGTGTTGACCAAAGTTTAAATTAATTCAATGTAACTGTAGAAAGCAGGACAAAAATATTTTATTTAAGAGTGGTTTTCAAGAAGGCATCAGTTTGAGTTTCATATCTACTGGTACTAGTTTTTAACAAGGAATAAGTTTCGACTTCAAAATAATAAGAAGGTATGGACTTAAATTTCAGAGGAACAAACTTCTGGATACATTTCAGTTATAAATTCCAACGAGTATCAAACCTAAATCCAAAGATTTCCATTGAATGGTTTTAATATTGATTGTAAACAGGTTTTTTATAAATAGTTATTTTCCAATAAGACATTTACAGGGCATTACCAATGACACTAGATGTAGGTAAACAATAAGTAACAATATGAGCTCAATTTTAACCGATGCATTGACCAAAATAATACTTCGAGTTTTACATATCACTGATTAACCCACTAGTGATGTATGATTTTTGTTTTTTCTTCGAATTTTTTTTACATGTTAAATTTCACCTTTAGAATTTCTGATGACTTTCATTCTCATATTAGATTCAATGATGATCTTTCTGTATTCACTTGAATAATCATACCCAGTTATGGAAGTTATTTCAACTCACTTATCGTTTTGATGAAGTTCATAAATGCTTCTCTATGCGCATAATTTTCCTTTAGCTACGTTGTAATTTAGCATTAATTTGAGCACTATCAGTCTTTCACAATTGATTGGTCACTGGGCGGTGATAAATGTCATATGTATCAAGTCCTTCATAGTGCAGATCGAATGCTATCGACCAAGTTGCAATGTGGCCACTAGTCTAGGTAACTCTACATTGCGTGTACTACGTTGAGATAAGATGGTGGTTGGAGGTAATCAACAGGAAACCGTGGACCTAGGTTTCGTGCTACTTGGCACTCGTCAATAAGATGTGCCTCTAATCTTGAGGGAACGGATGCTCCCTGACGGACTCGATCCCGTGTCACCCAGCTTCATAGTCAGAAGCGTTACCACTGGGCTATCCAGACCGCGACCAAGCTCCTGTAGGACTGAGATATATTCACAATTGACTGATCACTGGGTAATGATCACTGTCATTTGTGTCAAGTCCTTCTTAGTACAGATCGAATGCTACAGGTCTTTACACACATTTTTACCTGTTTCTTTAAATAAAAGAAGTGTACATCACTAACCAGTGTTCCTAGTGTTTATAGTTTGGTTTTCAGTAGTGATCTTTCAGTTGTCCAACACTTAATGTAAGGGATTAAAGCGGTAGAAAAGTCTTTTTACTGGGTAAATGAGCTTTAATTTAAGTCACTTTTACAATCAGGATCTTAACTTGATAAAAAAGATGTACTTTACATTTTTACTTATCATACTCATATATCATCCAATCACACTGGCTGTTTTGTACACGGTTTCTCTGAATGATTAATGTTCTTAATGATAATAACCATTTTTCCAGTGAGTTAAATATCAGATTTAGAATATAAACAATTTCAAATATGTTGGTGTATATCTTCCTTTACTGTAATGTAGGATGAACATAATACTGGCGAAAAATTATTAAATGGCGATGCTCATATCAACAGTTGTGATTCTCCTGATGCTGACAATGGCTATATACCTTCGAAAGAAGACAAGGATTCTGAATCGAAAGTTAATAAGATCGTGGAAAACATTCTATATGAAATAATAAAAAAAGTCGCAGTAGATGACGAAGACGATAGTAATTCTCTGTCGTCACCTCATTGTATACCGAATTCTGAATCGCTACCTGATATATGTAAATCATCCATAGATTCGTCACGTTCTTCATCCATTTCAATTTCAGTAAATACTAGCCTTAATCAAGAATGGTCAAGTGGTAATGTCACTCCTAGTATTGTTAGTGCCACTGCTACAACTACCAATAACATACATGAGTCGGATTTAAGAGATCCGAATTCTACATTAGTCGTGGATAATAATTGTGAAGTTGTCACTTCAGCGCATGTTACACAGAAGGATGCATTTCTTGTTTTTCGTAGCTTATGTCGTTTGGCAGTGAAAGATTTCACGGGTTCAGACTCAAATGATCCCAAATCACATGCTGTTCGCTCAAAATCTTTGTCATTACAATTATTACTTAATTTGTTACAACAACCTGGTCCGTTATTTTCAACGAGTGAAATATTCATAGCTGCTATTAAACAGTATTTATGTGTAGCTTTATTTAAAAATGGTACTTCACCAATTGTGGAAATATTCGAGTTATCTGTTGCTATTTTTCTTGCCCTATTAACATATTTCAAACCATACTTGAAAAGACAAATCGAAGTATTCTTCAAAGATGTCTTATTACTCATTTTAGAGTCATCCAAGTCATCATATGGGCATAAATTAATTGTTATTGATGCATTGAAACGTATATGTGGTGATGCACAATGCTTAGTTGATATTTATCTAAATTATGATTGTGACTTAAGTATGGCGAACATATTCGAACGACTAACAACAGATTTAGCTAAAATTGCTCAAGGACGTTATCTAGTCGCTGAACATGGGAATAATACGTCGTCATCAATTCAGCAACAACAACAAATACTACGATCTAGTGGTTTAGAGTGTTTAGTACTGATTTTACGTTGTATGACTGAATGGTCTCAGGAGCTTTATGTTAATCCAGAATCCCAGTCGTTTTTGGGTTCTGAACCAATGTTGGCGAATAGTGGCAGTAATTCTAATACAGTAGAGAATGCTGGTGTGGATGGTAACCATAATATGACTTCACTAGGTGAGTAGTTTCAAACAATATTTATTCAGTACTATTACTTTATACAGTATATGTGACTCGATCGTCTTGGAATTCAGCCACCACTTTCAGGACTTCATTTTAAAGCCATTTATTAGTTCAGTCTCGATAGCTTATTATTATAAACTGATCTTCATGAGAAATAGACCTTTTCGCTATCATGTGTTGTTAGTGAAACTGTGCTCCCAGCCTAGATACTCGGTTTCTGTCCATTTTTCATAACTTCAAATCCACAACATGTACGTCAGTTTGGAAAGGTGTTTATGCCATTAAACCAAACACTCGGAACCACCCACAATGGTGCAATTAGTTGACGATTTTCATTTATTTATCTCAATCATTTACATTCCTCTCCAGGAACCTAGACTTTAACCTTGATTTCAATATTAACTGAAGTGAATCTACTGTAACTTTTGAGATGAGTGTGGTTTAATTTAGATCATGTAATGTAAATGCATTCATACTTACTGGTAAGATTAAATTACGGGGAAATTTACCGGTATATTTGTTATTGAGGCACATGAAATAACTCCTTTGGTAAAATTATATGTACATGAATTTAGGTTTCTTAAAACTAATCAATTACGGAAAATCTAATGTTTGTAGAACATCATTACGCAACTATAATAAAATGTTTTACGACTTCTGGCATCGAATATACATTGGTGTATTGTGTGGGGTCATTCACGTCCTATAAACACTTTTGATAAAATAAATAACATTCTATCGCTCAATTCGAAGTATGAAAAGCAAACAGATTTTTGGTTTTATCGTGTATACCATTCATATGTGTTCATGTGTATTCTCCTCAATTTTTAATTCTAATCAAGCATATTTATTGTGTATGCTAGTATAGATGGAATCAATTAGGTTTTCATTCAAGAGCATTTGTATATGGTATTGAATTTAGCTTAGTATGATTGGTGTTTTTAAAATAGCACTAAAGTATGATAACAGCTGACAGTAATCAGTTAACCATTCAGATTGTTGAAATATGTTTCGTACCATGAATAATTCCTCTAGTAGCAATGTTAGTCGAGATTAGGTAGCGCGAATGAACTACTGGTAATACGAACAAGAATAGGATATCCGACTATGCTGAGACTGGTTCTCAAATATAGTTGCCACCATATACTTTTAAATTCTTGCACTTTCCATTTCTTCTGGTGTCCTACTGGATTATGAAGACCTCTATATCCCAAGAAAAGCACGGAATAGAATGAACAGCTTGCATGCAGCTAGACGATTTCAACCTTGTAGATGACCTAACTATTCTATCCCATACACACCAACAAATGCACATGAAGATAACTAGGGTGGCAGCAGTCTCTGCATCAGTAGGCCTCAACATACACAACGGAAAAACCAACATCCTCAAATACAACACAGAGAACACCAACACAATCTCACTTGGTGGAGAAACTCTGGAAGAGGTGGAAACGTTCACGTACCTGGACAACATCATCGATGAACAAAGAGGATCTGATGCAGACGTAAAGGAAAGGACTAACAAAGCAACGACAACACTCTCACAATTGAAGAACATCTGGAACTCGAAACAACTTTCAACCAACATCAAAGTAAGAATCTTCAATACGAACATCAAGACAGTTCTACTGAATGGAGCTGATACTTCGGGAACCACTACAACAACCATCATCAAAGAAGTACACCTATTTATAAACAATTGTCTATTCGAAATACTCAATATCCGTTGTTGTCCGGATACCAGCATCAACAACCTACTGTGTGAGAGAACAAACCAGCTTCCAACTGAAAAGACTGGTGGTGGTGTTGGATAGAACATACATTACAAAAATCATCAAACGGCATCACGATGCAGGAGCTAACTCGGAATCCTGAAGGGAAGAGGAAAAGAGGAAGACCAAAGAACACACTAGACCAGGAATTGGAAGCAGATATGAAAAGAATGAGTAGCAACTGGAAAGGATTGTCTAGAACAGATTGAAATGGAGAATGCTGGTGAATAGCCTATGGTCCTCTACGAGGGGTAACTTGCGTAAGTAATATACCCTGGCATGCATCTGAGTGATTTGATTCTTTATCTATTCCAATTTTATTCAACATTTTGGTGTTAAATGGTTTTTCTGAATTTTGCTGTCTTTTACTTCTATAGATAATTGTAGCCATATTTTAATAAATATTTAAATATTATAATTGATTATTACATATATGTTTTTATCGAAATTAGGCACTGTTAAGCCTTATGATGACCCTGAAGCATTTGAATCTCGCAAGGCACAAAAAGAAATTTATGAATCTGGATTAGCATTGTTCAATCAGAATCAACCTCTTCGTTGTTTGCAATTACTGCAAGAAAATGGATTGATTGGAGAATCTGTTGAGTCAGTAGCACAGTTTCTCTTAGTTGAAGATCGTTTGTCAAAATCACATATCGGTTATTTTCTCGGTGAAAATGAACCGTACAATCTACGTGTTATGTATGCATATGTTGATCAGTTTGATTTCACTGACAAGGATTTTGTTTCTGCTATGAGGTGAGTTTATTATCTTTCAACTTTACTACTAATGGATCAGGATTTCTTTGTGATATTCAGTTGTCAACAATATGTGTTTTTAACTCATTCTATTTAATTTAGACTTTAATTGTCAAGTAGTATCGTTAATGCATAAATATATGCTCACATAATGAGTATAGTTAATTGTCCTACTAATGAATATGCACCGAATGAAGTAGTAACACTTCCTTTAATGTTTTCTTTTCATTATCATTTGATTCCTTGATGTTGTTTGCTGCATCATAACGTTCTAGACGTGTTTACTACGTGTTTTTTTTAATGTGTTGTTAACCCTCATTGTTTCTATACAAGACAAACGCAACATGTTACGTTTATTTTGTTTTCTCTTTCAAATCTCAATGACCAACATTTATGTGAAATTTGATTTGTTAATGCTTTATTCGATTTTATGTACAACGAGATTTCCCCCCTTTGGATTTGTTAATTTGAACATAAAACTTCTAAACATAGACTCATAAGATATCCGTTCATTCAACATCATTTTAAGTTGCATCACAACTATTAAGGGTAATTGTTAGTGAAAGCTACAGTATATAAGCATGTGTGTAACTAATTGGCTTATTATAATTTTTTGTAATTCGAGAGATTGTTTATTATTTTCTTATTTCCAAATTAAAAATAAATTATCTCTATTAGTTCGTGAATTTCATACATCTTTAAATGAAGTGATTTTTTGTCAGGTAACTTGTAAACAGGGAACGAAAGTTCTTCATTTTGAAGATAGTCTTAATCCATTAATATCAACTGGTGAACATTAAAAACGAAGAATCATTAGACAGCTGCTGTTTCGTCTTATTTTGGAACTTTGCTACGAGATATGAAAGTCCTGAAATCGATGCTCCCTTGTGAGTTTGTTAATGCATACTATTGACAAGTATCAAACTAGGACAAAACAACTATCTGGTTTTCCATACTTTCCAATGGTTTAACTTACGCCTGTTATTCGTGGAGGAGCATAGGCCCCCCATTAGCACTCTCCATCTGCCTGTAGCTCTTCTAGAGTTACTGCCGGTCCCAAACCTGGGTAAAGGAGGAGGGTTGGGCATAGGGTTAGAGACCACATCCCGTAGAAAACTAACTCGCTAAAAAAACGCTAGCTTCAATGGTTCAACAGCTGATATTAACTGGTGAGTGATAAAAAGTCCATTTCAAAACAAATTAATAAATTGCTTTACCTAGTTAAATTGTTTTATTATTTTTTTGCATTTTAATCAAAAGGGAATTTTTATCGGGCTTTCGATTACCCGGTGAAGCACAGAAAATTGATAGACTTATGGAAAAGTTTGCTGCACGTTATTTTGCATGCAATCCAAATAATAATGTATTTGCTTCAGCCGATACTGCATACGTTTTGGCTTTCTCAATAATCATGTTGACTACAGATTTGCATAGTTCTCAGATTAAACCGCATAATCGTATGAGTAAGGTAATGAGTTCGTCAAATAATTCTTTTTAACAATATTTCATTATATTTCTTCTTTTTTTAAGAATCCAATCAGTCACTAGGATATCATAGCTTATAGAAATATATATCCAGCGCCTTATATTTGTTAGATTAACCTTTTATTTCAACGCTGAATATTATCAAGATTTATTATGAATGAAGTTTATCTTGAGAATTTGATGCATTAGTGCAATATATTTAGAACAATTGGATCACACATTTATTATTGATTTCCACAAGTTTTTGATTTCATGTGATAATGCTTCTTGATGCCAGCGCTTTGGTGCTAAGTAAACTTTGTACATTAGCAGTTAGGATGAGTTAATAGGTTTTAAAACATGTTCATGAATTTTCAGTTGTGTTTGTGACTTCATCAGTTTAAGGATTTTCTTTTGTTAATTCATATCATTTGAAGATTTAGTGAAATACAGAAGCGAAATCAGAAACCACCATTCTTAAAAAGTACACTCGCTGAGTATCCTTATTATTATTCATGCGCATAGTACATCAAACCTAGCAACCGTACTGAAAAAAGAACGCGAAAAACCTATTTATTTTATTCAAATTAATGATTTATATGCATTATTATAAAAAAATTGATTTTTTTCGTCATTCTATCTTATTATCACCATATTTAAAAGGAGGATTATATACGCATGAATCGTGGCATAAATGATAGCCAAGATTTACCAGAATCTTATTTAGCTCAAATTTATGATGAAATTGCTAATGCTGGTATAAAATTGAAAGCTGATGATAATGTTACCAAACTTACAAAAATTTCTACATCAACTGAAATCAGCCCTAAGCTAGATAACCGACGACAAACAGGAGATGGAGAGATTTTAGGAGATTCTGTAAGTTTTTTTATTCGTAAATAAAAATAAATAAACGAATTAAAGTTAATTTACATTGAAATCTTTATCTTCAATGGTTTGATAAACGTTCATTTTTTTGTATTTACTATCTTACTTGTATTTAACATTATTTTTCTTCTACTATCTTTTGAAGTTGACATCTAAGTTTTATTTAAAAAACAAATAATTTGTATATAGCGTGAAATTTTATCAAGACGAATCAATTAGTAAACATTACATATTTCTTATTGTTTTACAATTATTAAGATAGTTACCGTAAGTTTGAAACAATATCCTAAATTATGTTTAAATATAGTTCACAATATAGATTAGTTCGACTGTAGTCCACTTCTCATCTTTTTATGGAATAGTATTTTATAAGATTTGATTTGATGAATTTTATGTTGTTAAAATGAAACTAAAGAATGTTGGTCGATAAATGGCTTGCAATAATACTGAACATAGTCAACTGATGCCTGCTCACGAGACCGAGTTAATAACATAAGTTCCCAATGAGCTAGTGTTAGAAGACAACATAACTTTCTAGAAGAATAGTTTATTCTTAATAAAATAACATATCTATATACAAAATGTTGACAAAGAAATAAACATGATTAAATGTTACTGATGATTGAAGAAAATCAATTTTGTAGGTGATTAACTATCCAACCATTTAAAACTTTTCCCATTGTATTACACCGATAATATGCATTGTTGTTAATATACTTGACTAATTTTTTATTTCCTCTAGTTATTGTTCAGTATGGGCTGTTTATCATCTTTTTCCCATTAACAGATTACATTGATTCTCCTTTGCTCTAACTATATTAATTAACGTTTTTGGAAACAAAGTTTCCCGAGATTAATTGTTTACTTATTGACTTTGAGCACACTAAGACTTTATGCTTGACAACCTAGCGACTAGTTTAGGAAATTCAGCAATTAAACCCTTCTGCCGATGAACATCAATTGGAGAACTATTGAAAAGTAAACAGAACTAGATAATATTTGCTTATAACTATTTTGAAGAGAACTCTTGATGAGACTATAATTTATGAATGACCTTTGAGCGACGCTTAAGAGACCTTGAGAAGGTTCACCTACATACTACGGCTAAATGAGGGTTATAAACCAGCGTGAGGAATTAAAATTAATATTTACAGTTGATGGTTAGGGTTAGGAATCAGATATAGGGTTTTCATCACGAACTGACATAAGCTATAATGCCAAAACTCTATTTAACCAAATGGATGAGTTAATTTCGCGCCAAAATTCAAGACCTGTTATCGTAGATCTGATTGGGTCATCCATAAATTATAGTCCCCCTGATCTCTTAGTTTAACTCACTCTTGATCACACATGGGGGATCGAAGCTCAGAGCATACGAGTATCTTAGAAAGAGTTCAAAATCGAAACAACTGTCTAGTTCTCTCTGATTTTCAGTGATATTTCAGCAGACTTTAGTATATGATGCGAATAAACTTCACAAAGTCGTTCAGCCAAATTATTGCCGAATTATTTTTAGGTTGCCTTTATGACAGATTGATCTTAGTTGAAGGTACATTTTAAAATCATGAGATTCTGAACATCTATCTCGTCCTAATATGAGACTTTTTGGCAGTGCGCACGCACGACCACACTAGGGATTAAACTAAGAACATTCAGGTTTCATCGTAAACGGTTAACCATTACAATCAATCAATCAGCATAGAGCCTGGTACATACTTGTGCTGGTTCAAGTTCCTATAGGACAATACAACGAGATGTATAGTAGGGAAATTAAATAAAGTACCAGTAATCATATTGAGAAAAACAGAACATTAATCCTGTGATCATTAATGACTGAACTAGTTTTTTTTTCCAGCTAAGTTAATCAATTTTTGGAAAATATTATACTTTGATGTATTTGTTTAATTTTCTGTTTACCATCCTTCCATTATAAAACACAGAACGAATGGTACTAAATTTTTATTAAAGAAAAATATTCTTCTTAAATAAATATTTATTTTTTACGTAACTACAAATACACACAATTATGTGTTTATCATATTTCTTGTAAAAAACAAATAAGCATAAATCAAATACACATTTAACTACGGTTACACATCAATAACAAGGTCAATATAAAAGGAACATAATAATCAAAAAATAAATAAAATCAAACACTGAATTGATGTTTATTACTTACTACTTTATTTGACATTTTAACATTTTTTTTTGTCTTTATCTAATATAATGTGACTGAAATCATATTGTATATTTGTCATTAGTTTTATGATTGAAGTCTATTTTCGATAACAATAAACTAATATTATTTTGTCAAGAATGAATAAATGTGTAGATTACATTTCATTCTCAGCATTGTCTGTAATTTAGTCAGTAATTAAATTGTATTAAGTGTTATTGATTTGTCAGTTACAATAAGAAATTGTTAGCTAAAATCAAACAAAAATTTATGTGAAACACAAACAGAATGTTCAATAAATAAAGAATATCAGTGTATCTATTATTTAACTGATCCAGTTCACAATCTAATCATATTATTGATTTTGAATAACCTCAGAAAGATTATCAAAATATCTCTTGCTCCTGGTTTCTGATTTCAATATCATTATATTTTTTAATCATCGCCATCATCATGATATATTTCATATAAATACATATTAACCCATTATGAAAACCCTATCTCGAACTGTATAATTTTAACAAAAGTGGTATGCTTACTAGTGGTAGTGGTTAGTTTACGAATTTCTAGTGAGATTTCTTTACTAATGAGATTCATAGCGTAAAAAATACCACCGATCGCGTTGGATAATCATCATGTTATGTTGAGAAGTGATTAAATTTGGGATTGTTTACCATTAGATTTCAACTCAGCGGTCTAAATATTTAACGCGTTCTCTGCGAGATTTACTAGATATTGAGTAGTTATGCATCACTGACAAGTAGCAAACCATAATAAAACAGCCGTGTAGTGTTTCCCAGTTTTCAATTTTTTTTTCAGCTCATGTAAATCCATACTAAAATTTAACTTTAACAGTAAATAATATTTACCGAAAGTTATTCAGTATCTATAAGTATACCATAACTTAATTAAATTTTGTCACTGGTGTTAACATAATTATTTAAAACAGCTCGAGTTTACTCTATCTGGAACACCATAGAGATATTCCTAAAAACTCAGTGTTTCATAACTAGTGTTTATAAATTATGTTAATAAACATGATTATTCTGATTGTACACCAATCACGTTAATTAAAGTACATTCCAATCCACAAATATTCGTTCTTATAATTTTCAAAGTCAATACAGGTGTATCCAGTTAAAGAGATTAATCCATGCAATGTTAAACGAAGAAAGAATTACCTCTAGGAAGTTATCTATGACAAAATCGAATCTAAATTGGGAAAAAGTAGATGTCTCTAACATAGTCAATCCATATGAACCTTAACCTTAAACTCTGTTTTTACCAAGAATGTTCAAGTAAATATTTCCTTAGTAGGTTTATCTACTTTGATCATTGGCAAATGTCACCACACAGTTAATATTTCAAGGAATCTAACTGTACCTAGCCCCTTCCCTTGCAATCAGATCTTCCTGATCTCCTTCACTTCAAATGAATCACAGTTTTCTTAACTTCTCGTGTTGAGTTGAAGGTGAGATACCAATATCTTATTCAGGATGTTGGTAGATATTGAATGATTGAGAAGTAGTCTGTAACTTGACCGAAATTGTTAAAAGGAGGTTGGAGCCTATAAATCTTGTTAGAACTTTTGTGGTTTCATCAGTGACTTACCTTTCTCGTTTAGTTGTGTGAGTTAGTCATCAGTTTGTGTACATCAATCATCCTAGTATCCTACCAGTCAAGTGTTCTGTCATAACGTTGGATGATCTCTTTCTAAGCCCCTCTATTTGTGATAAAACATCACCATCATGCATGCCGGTTATTCATAGGAATTACATGTTACTGCATCGATGCAGTCAACAGTATGACCTCATTCTCGAACCTGAAAATTGTATCTTTTAATCATACCGTTTCTCAACCGACTTCATCGACATCTTAGAACCTCAAAAAAAATAATTGTTCGTGTGGAAAAAAGACTATTGAGTCGTTACATTCTTATGTTAGCTAAGACAAATTTCAGTTAAAAAAATGATAGATTAGTGTAAACAAATCATGTTAAGATGTCTAGTGATACCAAGACCAATACGTAATTTATTGTAGTCAAATTTTTGAAAAGACATATGCTATTTCTTTTCAAATTTATAGAACTTAATAAAGCATATATCCCGGAGTGCATAAATATAAAATATTTAATATAAATCGTGTTACTCAATTTCATATTTAGTGTGGTCATAGTTTTCTATTTCCTATAACAGGTTTAAGCCAAAAAATGTTTAGTGTCTACTGCGAAGTATAAACAAGTCGAGTAATGATAATTCATGATCAATATTCTTTGATTGTTCATGATTTTCTCTTACATTTTAATTTCCAATTATATAGGTAATGTCTGGTTCATCTGAATTCACTTGTGCAACCCATTGTGAACATGTTCGTCCAATGTTCAAACTAGCATGGACACCGTTTCTGGCCGCATTCAGTGTTGGATTACAGGTAATAATGTTTTGAAATTATTAACCACACAGCTTCAAATGGATACTTTACTTTGTTAAAGTGATCCTATATGTATTATCCCCAATGCTGTAGATAGTATTTAATGTCATTTGTTTGAATTTTACAGTTGTTATTATTCAAGACTAAAGTGGTCAATATCTGGCAACTTATTTACTTCTTGAATGAATAAGTACCTCGGTCCTGTTTTGGATTTTAAAGTTGGTTTTATTGTAGGATATTATCATTGTTAATAACATACTTCATCTAACTGTTTAGTATCACTAACAATGTTCACACAGTTATTTGAGATGTTAAATATTAAACGCCTCAAGTTTCAACCAAATAATTTTATTCCCATATCAGCATAACATTGCTATCAGTATACGTTACAAGGCGAAACACATGTGTATTTATCGCTTTAAACTGGCGATGTCATAATCAAAGGTAGTTTACACTTTAATTCGCCCGTGAAACTTCAAAAAACATTAGAATAACTATTTAGCTCCAGTGCACGTATTTTTTTGGAGTCAAACTAAGCAGTTAAAGAGAAACTTCATTTTACTTTGTAAACGATTTATTTTGTCAAACGAAAGTTCCACTAATCTTTGTACGGACATATTTAATTTCCGAACTTCTTTTTTCCTCTGTTCATGCAACCGATTTTTTAGCCTAATCAACATCCACGTAAGCCACAACTATTTGATTATAGATGTTTCTGAAGCATTTCTCACCTGCGATGCGACTGAGGTCAATATTATTAAGATGGGACGCAAGATGCTGTTTGAAACTGACAGATCGATTGGTGAAGTCATCAATTTTCTCCGTCTGTGAAGATTAAAATATTTTACACAGGCCTAGTTACCAACTACCTAGACTTGCGATACTGTCTGACAAAGGAGTAGGTTATAAGAAAGCCATAGATATAAAGATCAAGGCATATCATTAGTCCATGAGATCATTAATGACTGATCTGACCTGTGTTCTTATTTGAAAACTTCCTGGTTAGAGCCCTGAAAGTAGATATAATTTAAAAGTGCAAGTGGAGATTGAGATGACTTGAAATCAGTCAAATTTTCTCAGATTCATTTGTTTCTTATCTTTTTAAAAAAAATCTTGATCTCATTTGTTTCTTTTAAATCACATTTCTAATGTTTGGCTTATCACTTATCCTATATTTTTTATTTTGCTAATTTCTTTTCTCAATGTATTGGTATAAGATGTAGTAACTTAAACTTATAATACACATTGATGCCACGTTTTACATTAGCTATGACTTACTGTCTAATATTTGATTCAGCATAAACCATACAAAAATTCAATCTATTTCATTCTTATTTATAATGAATTCTAATGAGATAATCTTTCATTGAGCATAAATCGTTATCTTAATATTCTTCGAAGATTTTTCGGTTCGTATATATTCTTTTCATGTAATTTCTTTCTATTAGGCGTTGATTAGCCTTTTTATTCGGTAATATATGTATTATATATTTATTAATTAATTTAATGAATTTTTTTATATCGCTGTGACTTTTTTAAAGTGACATATTTCTTTTTAGTTCAAACTATCATGTCTTATTATAATGTAATATGAGTTTAGAATTTATTATTTCTTAAGTGTATCTGAAAACTCTCAATTTCAAAGGTTAACATGATAATATTATTAAGCGCTTACTTAGTAGTCAAATTACCTTTCAATCAATATATTACAACGTTATATTTTACTCTGCCTATTTTTCATGGCTGATTGGTTTCATCAATTCACAGTGAGAAAGAATGTGACCTTGTCGTTTCAGACACAGTTAGTCTCAGTCATTTTAGACTTTCTAACTTTAACCAGTGACCTGTTGTCTTTACTTCGTTTATATATATATATAATTCTTTCAAAATATTCTTGTTTCCAACAGGATTCTGACGCACTAGATGTGAATCACCTGTGCTTAGAAGGTATTCGATATGCCATACGTATAGCATGTATATTTCATATGGAATTAGAAAGAGATGCTTATGTACAAGCACTAGCACGATTCACACTACTATTAACAACATCACATGTAAATCCTACTATTACGAATGGAAATTCATCAGGTATAAATGGAAATAATCATCAAACTGTTAATTCTCGTCGTCCACGATCTGAGAAGATTAATACGAATGCATCATCTACACTTAGCAATGCTTATACAAATGCATTAGGATCAAATACTTCTAATCCAGCTTTATCTACTCCAGAAGCGATGAAACAGAAAAATATTGATACAATACGTACATTGATTACAGTTGCTCAAACGGATGGTAATTATTTAGGACGTGCATGGTTAGAAATTCTACGGTGTATATCTCAACTGGAATCAGCACATTTAATTACTCATGCCATTTCATCGACATATGGATTAAATACTAACAATCCGCATATTGTTAACCGTCCAACACATTACAGTAAGTTTACATAAATTAACTTTTCATTAAATGGTCTCTGGATGTAAATCAACCATACTTCTGAATACATAGAATAGACATTGAATAGACTTGTTCATTTCAATCTTATTTGAAGTTCAGTGTAATTTTATACTTGTATTACGCTAATTATTGTGTTTCCAGGTTTACTCATTTCCAGTTAATGGGATCTTCATGAATAAAAACGTGTATTCGGTTAGATAGTGACGATGGATATTTTATTTATGAACTGACTGTTTTCGATATTTCTTGGACTAACTTTCCCTGTAATCACATCATGGATTGCGAGCAAATCCTTTGTGTCAGTTTGTGTCGTCGATCCCTGTATACCATGTATCATCCACTGCATACTCCATAAAACCCCATTGTAGTAAGGAACCTATGAGCCATATAATGTTTAGTTAGTATACGTAAGTAATTAGCTGATTCTACCATCCAAATTGTTTCACATTGTATACTGATAACGCATGTAATGAATCAAATAATTTTTAAATGGATGGTAACTATCTAATGTCATTTATGTACTCAGTGCCTAATTTTTACATAAATAATTACTCGTCCCGACGACAGTTATTATAGATGATTTTATATCTTGGTTCCTGACTGAGTATCTAATACAGAACTGTTGTTGTTTTTTGTGTTTACCGGGAAACTTGATTCTTCTAAATAAATATTTCCTATGTTGTTTACAACTCGGGTTCACAACTACTTTTGAATATCTATACATATCACCATGGTTTTTTCTCTTTCATTGATTAATATGAATTCCGCTATTTTTTTTAAAGCCATGACAACTGGTTCTTATTGTTTACAACAACACGGTTTGTTCACCATACTACCAAGTGTATATATCTATTGATTTTTTTGTATACTAACTTTGAAGTATCTCTTTAATGCTTGTGATATACTCTTCCCATAAGTCGTAAAGGGTTGATGTCCATTTGTTGAAAAATAATCTATTTCAAATCATATTTTTATGTTTGTGACCTTCAACTTGAATGGTTAGTTGCTGTGTATTTCCAGTCGACTTGATGCAAAAATAACTATTTTATGGTTGTATGCTTTTCTTTGAGATATGTTATCCACCTTATTGCCACATTTTGTTCTATAGGAAGGTGTCTTGGTCGTTAATACACTCATCTTTCAATCAGTAGGTCATCGTTTTGAGTCCCACTCCACTCTCTAGAACCCTAATTAGCGAATTGTAATGGGCTGATAGATGTCAGTTTTGTTCAGATTTTTTTCATACCTCCGGACCTTTTCATAATTAATCACTCAGTGCTCATAAATAAAGGATGATTTTGGATTTGCTGGAACGACATTCGTTTTACACATTCAAGCCATCGAATTCGGTGTTTTAAGATAGAGAATTCTAGAATTCCAACGTGGCGTGCTACTATTGGTCAGTAGCATAGTATGTCGCTAACGAATTAGCTGAAATATGATGTTAATTTAACAAACACTAATATCTATAAATACCCATGATTTTCTGTACAAAAACGAACCTTGGAGTAAAGTATTTCTCTCACACTTTGCGTCTTCTCTCTGGTGTTCAAGTCTCTGTGTAGTTCTAGCATGCGGGTTATCAGAATAGCTTAGGAATCGAATATAGCGTTCAATCGACAAGACTTATCAATAATAAAATGTAAATGTTTGAAAGTCATGTAAACTTTGATATATCACAGGATTCTTTATAAATATTTATTAAAGTACTCCGTTTTACTTGTGTATCAAACAAAAGAAAGTAGGCTATTGGCATTTTTTCTAAAATGTATATTCATTTAGTAGTTTTCCATACTGTTAGTGAGGAATTTCATAATTAAAACTTTGACAAAAGATAATAGGAAATCACAGTGATAAAAGTGTATTCATTTTGAGTGATCTTCAAGCCTACAATATAGATGACTGGTTGTGTTTGGAATAATAATAATAATAATAATAATAATAATAATAATAATAATAATAATAATAATAATAATGTGCATTGGTTTGCAAAATACACTAACAGCTTCACATTTAGTTTAAAAATAACATTTAAGAACTTAATTTATATGAACCAAACTTATATATTTACTATTAATAATAAGCTATTGTCTTCTTTATAGCATTGGTTATTTTGATTAGAATCAAGTAATTTTATTTTATTTGCGACAGTTGATCTAAACAATATTCAATTTTGTTAACATAAACCCTTGTCATATATATACATAATTTTATTCCTTTTTAAGGAATCAGTTGATGCAAATAGATTATACCCAATACGATTATTGACTGATTACATCGATTATTTTTCTCAAAGCGGAAACATTTTGAAAGCTTATTTAGGACAAAATTATTCCAGATTATATGTATTCGTTTTTTTAAATGAAAGTAATTATTAACTGAATACTTGCTATTTAAACTAATTTTGTCCAGTCTAGTTATTTGGTTATTCATAGAATAATGATCCATATAAATTTGATTTAACGTTTAGAAAACTACGAAAAAGGTAGTAACACTTTAGAGATGTTGCATTCCGATTTGGAATACCTCAATAGACTTGGAAGTTTAATGATATGTGTTGCTTGAAAGACACAGTTTTCTTATGGGTGGATTCTACATTATCTTTTGTTGGTTGTATGATTTTGTGGAAATATCCTTCCAAGATCTAGAGTAGCCATTAAATAGTTATTTCCCATTTGAATGATTGAATTTTTTAACTCCAACGGATACTAAGCTAAAGTATCTATTTATGGTTTCTTTCACCCTAAATTTTGTCATTGTCTAATGTCACTTGAATGAACAATAAACGTCATCATATGTCAGGCAGCTTTCTCTTTTTTAGTACGCAGTCAGTCCTACAACAAAATACATATCCTCGGCTGTACAAAACTAAACTCGGTGTCATAAAAACTCATAATAAGTATGCTAACATTTTGACAGACTTAGAATCCAACAGTCTATATTTGGAATAATTGAAATTATTTTTTGGAATTCAGTGCAATTATCATTTAATTTTGTTTAAAAAATACAATTTATACTGTTCTTATATTTCAAGCTATAGAGCATGTGTTTACTAGAATAAGTTTAATAATCTGAACTACTGGATTCTGACGAATAACTGGAAATCATAGTACTATTTGTAAGAATTGATAAACTTGAATACACGGTTGTATATATAATGAAATATATAAACTGATAGTGATTATTAAATATGAATAGAAACAACTTATTTCTCATTAGTTTTTAAAAGTACTTCAAATTCTCTTAATCCACTGTGTTTTTTAATAAATGATATTTGTTTTTCATATCTTCATTTGATAGAATACATTAAGTTATACAATTTAAATATTAATTCCTTTTAGATTCATATAACAATTCTTATAACCAGAATATAAATGAATTATCTACGGTTACTTCATTAACAACAGAAAATGGTTCTATCAAGTCCAATAATTTAATAGCATCTAGTCCAACAGTTACATCTAATCATTTTGTAAGTTCCAATTTGAATGAACCTGTAGCACCAGGTAGTTTAGCGGCTTCTATTGTCGACTCTAAAAAAGCTGCTGTTTTACAAGAAGTAATGGGAGAGACTGGATCACAGAGTGTGGTAGTTGCTGTTGACAAAATTTTTACAGGATCAATCCGTTTAAATGGTGATGCTATCGTAGAATTTGTAAAAGCTTTATGTCAAGTAAGTTTATAAGTAATTTTTTAACTTTTCAAGTATTATAGAAATAGTTTTCATTTAAATTCAAATTAATTTATTTACTCGGGTGCTTAAGAGTAAACCGGATTAAGTATAACGGCTAATAATAATATTAACATCTGATTGGTCAAACTGAAGTAGGCAAAGTGCGGAGCTGGAACCATGAACTTAGTGTTTGAAAGTTGTATGCCATAATCACAGCCATCACTCCTCCATAAAATATAGTATAACATGTCTTTTTCTGAAAAGTTTATTTGTGTTTTAGATTCACCATTGTTTGATTATTTTTATTTTACTGAATACTTTTCGAATTTCGTGACTTACCCGAACTTCATCGTAAAAAAGCACGGTTCAGTTTTTTTTATTCTTTGTAAATAATGAACTTAAAACTAACTAAGGGATTCTCCTTGAATCCCATAATCATAATATTTATTTAAGTACTTTTCGTGTTTATACTGGCTGGATTGCTTTCATGAGATAGTATCATGTTATGGAGATCGAATTTAAACCTGTTAAATGAAAAATAATTAATTTCATAATGTTCGTTGTTACATGTTGATTTAAATTCTACCAGTAAAGTTTTTGGTCTTATTGTAATCTAATGTGATAATCGTAAAATACCTCCTCATTTGTGTTATACTTTTCAATTATCTCGACAGTGTGATACATTAGAATACGTTGATCTTAAGTATTGTATAGCTTATTTTGTTGTGCATGCTACAGTTATTAGTGCTACAAGATGAGTTCGCCTCAAACAATATTAGTCTGTTGTTGAGAAGTCAATCAGATCTTTATCAAAAGCCTAAACACAAATAACCGACTTCAGTTTGTCAATATTTTCAGACATAATACTATACACTACATGTCATCAAATATATATATAGCGTTTATTTTTTATTACTCTATAATTATAGGTTAGTCAAGAGGAATTGAATCTTCCACAAGCAAGAACATTTTCACTTCAGAAAGTTGTTGAAATTTCATATTATAACATGGGTCGTATTCGATTACAATGGTCACGTATTTGGGAACATATTGGTAGTCATTTTACAACAGCTGGTCGATCAGTTGATGAAGACGTTGCTGAATTTGTTGTTGATTCTTTACGTCAATTATCAGTAAAATTAATAGAAAAAGGTGAATTACCTAATTTTCATTTCCAAAAAGAATTTCTTCGGTAAGCAGTTTATTAATTAAATCGTAAATGTAAATTTTTTTGTCAATAAAGCAGAAATTTAATGGGAATTGTTCATTTTTTGTGATTAGTCTTACACCACAGACAACAAAATCAACTATTCTATGTTTAGTCACTAATAATTATAAGTATAGATAGTACTGTAGAATTCGAAACACTAAGACAGTAGAACTGTCTTGATGTTCGTATTGAAGATTCTTACTTTGATGTTGGTTGTAAGTTGTTTCGAGTTCCAGATGTTCTTCAATTGTGAGAGTGTTGTCGTTGCTTTGTTAGTCCTTTCCTTCACGTCTGCATCAGATTCTCCTTGTTCATCGATGATGCTGTCCAGGTACGTGAACGTTTCCATCTCTTCCAGAGTTTCTCCACCAAGTGAGATTGTGTTGGTGTTCTTTGTGTTGTATTTGAGGATGTTGGTTTTTCCGTTGTGTATGTTGAGGCCTACTGATGCAGAGACTGCTGCCACCCTAGTTATCTTCATGTGTATTTGTTGGTGTGTATGGGATAGAATAGTTAGATCATCTGCGAGGTCCATTGTATTCCGTGCTTCCCTTGGGATGTGGAGGTCTTCATAATCCAGTCGGAAACCAGCAAAAAAGGAATGTGCAAAAATAAGCAGCCTTGTCTGACATCGGAATTCACTTGGAGTACATCTATCCGTTGTCCTCCACGCACGACTTTGCAGTGTAGTCCGTCGTATGAATTTCGGATGATATTGACGATTTTCTCAGATACGCAGTAGTGTTGAAGAATACATAGGCAATAATATTTAATATCCAACTGATGTAAACGTTTCTATTAAAAGATAACTTTACAAATGTAAGCAAATTATCACAAGTTGTACTTTTATTTCTGTTTAAAGTCAACTTGTTTTTAAATAAAACAAAGGGATTGTATAGAAAATAATCTTGCTAACCTTTGTAAAATGTATACAGAGTACAACTACTGAAACGTTCAATCATACTCAAGGTCATGATTATACATATTACTTTAGATAAAGTTAATTGTTAGTTTTAGAATAACAAAAGTTTCTCAATTAAATTATTCAGTCCTGGAAACGTAAAATCCAATGGCAAAACTATTTTGTTCAACTTGTAAATCCTTTCATTTTCAATCTGTTGTAAATGAAAAATACTTTTTACAATAAGTTATCATTAGTTTATTTTATTTTATGAGTTCGGTCAATTTTTATATTACAGTTTTATATATTATTAAAGAAGTGTTTTCTTATTGCACTTGCAAAGATTGAAATGACTAATACACAATGATCATTTAAATCAACTTATTGGTCAAATAAAACTGAGGAGCTTACTTACTAACTTACGCCTGTTACTCTCAATGGAGCATAGGCTAGTAAGTGTAAGTAAGCTAAGTAGATTAGTATTATTATTATTATTATTAATTATACTACGTTCCATCATACATTACTGGAAGTAGCAAGCTCGTGGTCTGATGGTGAAGTAGTACCTCTGATTGTTTAAGGGCAACAGTAAGGTGTTTTTTTCATATAATCAGCATCTACAGTAATTCTACCTTTCCACAACGGCAGATTGAGGTAAAAATGGTTGACGCTAATAAAAGTAGCACTCCTCGTTATACTCCACAGATTTCCGTCACTGGCATTAAGAGTTTTGAAGTACGGAACCAACTTATTTAAAGTCAAAACAAACAAATGCAGAGTAATATGAATTTATTTTCGTAGTTTCTCATCAACTGCTGATAACCATATATATATTGAAAGTTTGTATTGAAGTAGGGTAAAGTGTGAAACAATTGACATAAATGAATGTAAAGAATCGAAATGACGAAAGTCATCAATAATAACTCTATGTATATGTACAGGAACAGGTCGGAGGTCATTTGATTTTGGGATAAAAGCAAGGGGTTAGTGATAGATTAATAAAGTGAGATTCAGAAACATCAGATAAATTGTGTGATGATTTTAGAGGTTATGAAGGGTTTACATAAGGTTTCTGGGATTAAAAAACTGATAGGATGGGTTACGTAATAACTGAACAAAATTTGAAGAGTTTACATAAGTTAAGAAAATTAAATGAATCCAAATGTATGAGTGAAGGGGTGGTTTTAATGTACACAAAATAAGAATTCGGTAAGGGAAGACTACATAACAAAATGAACACTAATAAAATAAAGGTAATAACAATGATTTACCAGGGTAGTATTAGGTTTATTACTGTTTCATTTTGGATGCATAAATCAGGTTTGAGTTTTTCTTATCGCCATTTTTGCAGTAAATTTAAGAGACTGTTTCTTTGTCTGCTAATAATTTTGAAGGTTTGAGGAATGTTAATGGTGTGTCCCGTGCTAAGTAAATGCCGAGCCATTGCACCCTTCGGTCTTAAGTTCTTTGGAACATGCTCGGAAATGCGAACATCTCTCTGTTCTTCCAATGCGTGTTTTGGTTCGTATCTTTTTTATCTGTGAACCCCACTTAATGCCTATGATTGTTGGGTTCCAACACCAAATGACCTCCAACCGAGAGAGAGAGAGGGAGGGAGGGTTATTATTGATGACTTGTCATTACAATCCCTTTCATTCATTTATGTCAATTGTTTCACACTAAATCTTACCCCAATGTAAGCTTTCAATATATAGATGGTTGTAAGCAGCGATGTTGACAACTAGAATGTGATAATCGCCCTCATACCTCTAAAAGGATATAAGATTACCTCGCCTGTCATAGATTATTTAATGTATAAAATAATGCTGATGAAGTAAGAGATTATGAATATTGAACTGAGTATTAAGTAAATTGTTTAATTATTTGGGAACTGTAAAAAATTAAATTGTATAAAACTTTCAATTGTGAATATTTAGATGGGAAGGAAATATGTGCATTAAGTAAACCCATAGGGGTTATCGTCAATTTATTTAATGCTTAGTATATGTTTTGTATCCTGCTTTTTCGACTATTCTTCCGTTCATTTAGTAAGTGGTTGCGAAATATCAGAGTATAATTTTTTTTTTACTAAGAATTGAATTTCAAGCGTACTCACAACAGTCTGCTATAAACGCCTATAGTGTATTCCAGATCCAAATCCCAAATGAAAAACATCAATATAGTAAAAATTAAGCCTTGAACTGAAATCTTGGGCAAAAATTATACCACTTACTTACTAAATGAACAGAAAAATGGCCGAAAGCACTAGATACAACACACCTATTGAATATTGAAAATGTTGAGGATAACATCAGCCAAATAGATGTTCTATCATCTCGTAAGAGGTATGATTATTATCTTATTAGTTCTAAAGTTGACCAAGTGAGAGTTCCTTGAAACTTGGTCATTTGTTTTTCTTATCATGCATTTAGACACATAACTGAATAGCATAACTAGTAAGTATATTATTCCTCACTTATTTTTTCTCCTTGTTTGAATATAAAACAAAGTTAGTTCTCTATTAACAATCACCTGGTTGGAACATATAATTTTATTTGTATATAAATATTTTAAAACAATCTAAATTGGATTAGAAAACTGACCATCAACTTATCATTTAAACTACTGACCTTTAATCATGTATAAAATGTATGTAGTTTAATCTGAAGGGTGTTTTTGTTCCTAAGAAATCGCTAACAATGACACTAAGTCATGATCTAATCTTAAATACACCAAGTTTCACTTGTTTTAAACATGTGATCTTTTAAATAAGTCAGTAACTGTTATTCTTCTTTTTTCTAGGATGTAAATCACTTTCACACGACCCTGAAATGTTAAAATTGCTACATTTTGTTTTTCAATTTCTTTGATAAACCGGATATTGTGTATTTGTTTTTTTTTGTTGTATAGTTCATCCTTTATCTACAAATTGTTTTGCTACAACTTTTATGTCAGCTGACATATCTCTGTCATGTTCGTCCTTGGCAATGATAGATTAAAAATGTATTTAACGCAGTGAAAATTCATTTAAATTCGTAATTTATTGTAAATCATTATAAGTAAAAAAAATATAAACGATTGATTTGCAAATCACGAGTATAAATATAATACGGTGACCATGAGACGGGAGAGCTTTGAATTCGTTCCTTTATTGGGTCGTAGTTGCTTTTTGTTTAGTAAGAGCAATTGACTAGATTGAAACAGCAGTTTAGTGCTCTTTCAATTCCCTGTGATTTTTCTATTGATGTCAATTCTTGTTACAAATCATCTTCCTGTTCCGTTTTCATTTTTAAAATTAAAATCCGCTTGTAATATTATGAGCTTAACTTTGGTTATCATAGGGTTAAAGGGTTCTTTTGGACATTGCTTAACTCATTTCCAACAAATTTTTTTCAAGGCCTCAAGCAATAAATATGCTTAGTTATTATTGATAGTTAACGAATATGTATTATCTGTACAATTATTATTAAATATCTTACTTCATCCAATGAAAACAAACTGTAATATACCAGACTATTTTATCATCAATGAAATTTTTGAAAATTTTCTCAAATAAATGTTTCATTGTTATTTATATCTATCATTTGTTCAGTTTATTTATTTATCTATTTTTAATATAAACTTAATGTATTATATTTTAGTCCTTTTGTAAATATACTGGAAACTGAACCAAATGTCAGTCATAAAGTTCAAGATATGATAGTTCGTTGTATTTATCAATTAGTCCATTCACAATATTCGAATATACGTTCTGGATGGACAAATATTTTTGCTGTTCTACACTTAATAGCATCGTCTTTAAATGAAGCAATAGTTGATATGGCATTTGAAACTTGTCATTTCACTGTGAAAACTGTTTTCAAAGAACATTTACGTATTGTCGTTGATGCTTTTCAGGTAGATAGAATTATTTTTCTTCTTTTTTTAAATAATGCATGTAAAAATCACTATAGTAGATTAGAAGTTAATATTCATATTTGTTGTTTATAGATTTCATAATCATGATATTCTAAAATACATGAAAAGATTAATTACACGTGAATGTATAACGCTAATAAATAGTTCAACTGTTTAATTTGTTGTATACTTATCGGAACCATTGAATTATCTATTCATTTGACTGATGAGCAAATGTAGTTAACGTATCTGTTCACAATTTATTTCGTTATCTACTTTTCATTTCTACGTTTTTTGAAAAAAGATCAGAATTTTCACAGTTGAATTTACGAGTCGATCTAAGCTAGACTACCATTGAAAGCCTTGAAGCACTAGACAACCGTTCCGTCCTAGTATGGGACTCTTCAGCAGTGCACATCAGCGTTCCCTCACTCGGGACTCAAGCTCAGGGCTTCGTGTCTTTAACGAGAACGCTTAACATCTAGACCACTGAGCCGAGATCCGATGGTGTTAATATCTAACTTCAACCAATCTATGATCTTGCACAACTCTTCATCCATTACTTGAAGTGAATAACTTTCCATCCTACATGGATTGCAATCCACTAGCTTAGATCGACTCGTGAATCAATAGTGAAAATACCATAATCTCCACAAATCCCCGTGCTGATAATAAATCAGAAGTGACTGAAATTCAAATGTACGAACAATGAATTGACTAGTAATTATCAATTCACATAGAGGAATAACTCTACTTGTCGAAATATACTGACTGAAGCTGAGAAAATATTCACATTATTGTCAGATAGCTTTTAGTACTCAAGAGTTAACTATGTCTTGTGTTTTTTCTCCTATAGAATTTTATTTTAAAAGTAGTCTGTCATTCTGTGCTTGAAGATGGTGAAGTATTTGTAATCACTTTGTCCTTTGTACACAATTTCAAAACAAGCGAAGTGGCGTTCGTCAGGGCTGCCCACTCTCTCCATTCTTGTTTAACTTTATCATTGACGTACTTTTAGAGTTAACACTTTCCTCATCTAAATTTACAGGGGTTGAACTTCTACTGGAAGTTTCACTTGTTGACGTAGAATATGCTGATGACATAGTTTTATTTGGTGAAGACGCTGACAAAATGAAGAGTCTTCTGACCACTCTAAGCAACAATGCAAGCATGTTTGGAATGCGATTCTCCCCCACCGAAATGCAAAATGTTGCTTCAGGACTGGGTTGCATCGACACCCAAACTAATTACAGAGAGTGAAGTAGTTGAACGTGTCGACCGCTTCACTTATCTTGGAAGTCTCGTCAGCCTTTGTGGTTTGGTGTGTGACGAAGTCACTGACAAGTGGACTGAGCCATGTTGGTAGGTGTAGACTATCTGGTTGGGGACCGCGAGATGATAGCAACCGATGGTTAGAGACCCTGAATGACATGGCTCAAAATCGTTTGCAATGGGGCAGATGCATACACTCTTTGTGTTCTCCTAAATTCTGATCTCCTGATTCCTCATTGTCTCTTTTTCTCTCTTCCCAAGTTTATTTCACCGGATTATACTCTTTAAATAACATCTCCAAACCCTAATCTTTCCGATTACCGCTTATACTCTTACTACCTCTACCACTACGGGATTTGAATCGACCAGTGCATCTCTGTGCTAATGTGGTGTAGCAACTCAAACTGATTTACGTACGTACGAGGTTCTACGTTGTTACTGACTGACTGTCAGTCGTTCAACGTGTTAGTTGAATTGGGTGATTAGAAACGTACAGTTAGTTAGTTGAATGATATTAAATTTTGTAGATAACTTATCATTTAGTTACTTATGGTGTATCCATTCAACCCATTGACTAAATATGTGTTCAGATTATGGTTTTTCAAACAATCGTCTTTTTAAAAAAATAAACCGGACTTTGACTTCTTTTTATTTGATCTTTTTTCTGTATGTTTTGTATACAATTTTCAGCCTTTAGTAAAAGCATTAGCTGAATTCGCATGTAATCCTCGATTTCCTGACACAGCTATGGAAAGTATCCGTTTAATTCGTATTTGTGCATGTACAGTAGCTGACAACGAAACAGTGTTTATTGGTCTACAAAATCCTGAATTTCCTATTGTAAATAATAATAACTCGATGGAATTACCCAATTCTGATTTGAAATATGTATATTTATTACCTGAAGATGATCAAATTTGGTTAAGAGGTTGGATGCCCGTACTATGTGAATTATTTCGTATAATAAATGGGTATGTGATTTATTTATTTGTTTATAATTTACTCTGTTTTGTAACAAATTGTTCAACAACCTCTGCATACTATTTGTCCTAATAATCACTAGGTAATCACTAGTTTTGAAAGCTAATTATCAGAGTCCTAGTGATAAGCTATGATTAGTCGAACTTTAAAATGTCGAAAGGGCGACATTCTAAGAAGTATGAATGGTAAAACTGAGTTTTGTATACGAACTGGCAAACCTCAGAACTGTACAACATGTCGTACTCTAGTAGTCACGAATGAACCAGAACTCAAGCCAAAGAAAAAGCAGCGATCTTATTCAAAGGTAATGTATTTGTAATACGAATTAGGCTCAAAATCATGTACAAAGTAACGATCGTTATATATAGACACCGCATATAGTTACCCAGCATTAGAAATGAATGATGGTTAAGCAGTATCGCTAATCAATTGAAGTTAAAAATATAAACCGTTGGATCCCAACTCAAATCATTTAGAGGTTAGGGACTCGGCTAAAGACCTAAAGGTTTCTTGGCTCGATTCCCAATGAGGTCGTAAATGCGCACTGACGAGGGGCTCTATACTAAAATGAATCAGATAGCCAATGTTTCTGTTTTGAATAGAATTGTCTAAGTAAGGTCAGTTCATGATACAGACTGTAAAGCCGATCAATTTTTAATCTTAGGTGTATGTGATCAGTTTTTGTTAAAACAATTTTTCTTAGTTTCTTTAACCGAACGTTTGATTCTTTATTTTTCTAACACTAGCTCTTGTTTCAAATGGAGTTTCTATTCTGATATTTCAACATAGTATTGTCTTTTTTTGATGAACCTGACGTTATTTTGTACGTTTATTCTACCCGGAAAAAGAATATTCACTTGATTTACTTATGTTTGATGTTGTGCTAATCTTTTCATCCGTCCGGCTTTCTGGCTATTAGGAATAGTCATGGGGCTGCTTTGGTAGTTGATGTTATCATGTCTTTTGACCAATGAATGAGTCAAACTCTCAATCCTAACTTTTTATATACTACTGTATTATGCAGTATGTCATTATCGAAATTTTACGGTTATTTGTATTGCATGATATTAACTGGCTTGTTTATTTCCTCTCTTTTCCTTATAAAAACAAATATATCATTATGTTTTATTTTTCCTTAGTTGTAAATTAGATGTACGCACTCGTGGCCTTACTGTGTTTTTCGATATATTAAAATCACATGGCAATAAATTTAAACCATTGTGGTGGCGTGAAACATTTGCTGTTATCTTTCGAGTTTTTCAACATTTCCGAATCTCTTCAGTATCATCAGAATATAATAATACCATGACAAATGTTGATTTGGAAACAGTCGATCATCATATTTCTTCGGTAAAAACACCTCCGTACTCGAATGCATGGAATGAACAAGCTATCACCAGTAATCGGGGTATTCATCATCAGACTCTTTCAAATATGGAACGTACTGAATGGATGAATACAACTTGTAATCATACGTTATTTTCTGTTGTGGATATATTCACTCAATTTTATGATGTGTTACATGATATTCTTTTGGGTATGTCAATAATTTTCATTATATTTTCTTGAAAATACAGCAATTTCTCATATATATACGGTTAATATATTCGAGTTGTTAAATATTTTTATTATTAACACTATTGATCATACAAGAAAAAGCATTCTCAGAACATGCTTGCGAGTTTTTCCCCACCGGCAATTTGTAACTGTTTAATTTTACAGCACTGAATATCTGTAATTCGCTTTCAGTAATAATTTAAATCAATATTTGTGAATGATATTTTATATAGTCTAATCTCCCACTCCGCTGACTAACTGATATGCAGATAGAATTATTATAAAAACAGTTTATTGCTAACCATTGGATTTTAAGATACAAGGCTAGTGAAATTATTCGATTCCACGATATATAAGTTGTGATCTATGTAACTCCAGTGCATATATCATTTAAACTAACTGTTCTAATATATGTAATTTTGTAGTGTCTAGTGCCTTGTCAAGCGTAAATGCGTTGTTCTAGCTTCCGGAAAGACCGCTTTATTCATTTTTTTCAAGTCTCACTTTGAACTTGTTAATTATTCGCTTATTAACCCTGACTTTTATATGAGCATATGTGTGTACTGCTTACACTACGGTCAAACCGGAGTCAGATACTTGGACTAAAAAGAGTTGTCATATCTAACATACTTTGTAATAAACTGACTAAAGATAAACATATGGATCACTAGGTTTCGATTAAATGGTTTGAAGGTATTGTACACGCTTTGCTAGACCTGTTAAATCCTATCCTCAGTCCCACCTAGAAGGTCCTGAGGGTACATATTTGAGACGTTTCAAAATGGAACAAACCACATGTCTTATACTTATTTCTGTTAGTAGTTCGTCAACAGATCTTGTTTTATCATGAAACCATCCTTGAACTATACACATCTTTTCGTATGACATCTCAATATATAATTGGCACTTGATATCATCGTAACAAATAATTTAGTCTACCGTACACAAAAAATATTTAATCATTAGTGCCATTTACTGTGTTAGGGTAAATATTTCTTCTTAAAAAGGTATCTACGTTAATACAGGGCAGTAAGATGAAGTTTAACTAATTTACTGTTTTAATTCGATGCACATAGTTTCAGCTAAGGTTTGTGGAGAAAAAATATTGCAATGTGATCATTTTACAGGATTTATAACTGTTTTATCAGTTAAGTATAGTTTGTAGGAAACTAAATTCTTTTTTTTTTGCAATGTTTTTAAAGTAGTTATCGGGTGTGACTTTCCAAGCACATATTAAGATGCTCACTTTGTATTGGACTTCATGTGCATATATAACAATTAGGAAACCAATGTGACTTGAGTCAATTATGTGCCTTATTACAGTGAATTTATACTCTCTAATTGACTGCATTTGACGTTTACAATTTTATGATCCTACTATTGAGATATTTGTACTTTTACATTCCCCTGATTCTCAGATTTTAGGACATTGTGTGTTGGAAGTGATTGCGAACTGAGGGTGGGAAAACAGGCACTCAGCTTACTGACTGCTAATGTATGATTTCCTTCCTGTTTTTTATTTCTATTCTGAAATCATTGAATGTAGACAGCTTGTAATTGTGTTGTATAAGTTATTTGGTCGTGAACCATGTATCCAGTACAATGTAATCCAGTCTTCGTATAACGTAACGACCGAGTATTTAGTTTAGTGGCAGCATAATATAGGACACCGGCCATATTATTGTATCATAGTAGTGTAACATAGGAAACAAAATATGTTTAATCTGCCGTCATTGAAGTATTAAAGACGGGAAATTTCTTTCTGATAAATTATTAAACATTCTTGACTAACATCAATTTCATTCACTACTATACAGTGCTAATGTGTTACTTTCAGTGAATTTGAATAAAAACAAAAATCGAAATGTGATATTTTAAACAGAATCTTAATTCTTCTTCTGCCTAATTTTTTTTGCAAGTCCACTGAATGCCCCTATATTTTCTATATTAATCTACGTAAAATGGATTCATCTATATCGTTACTATTGGCCTTTTACCGTATCATCGACAGTGCTCAGATCACTAGTCATGAACATCATGGACTGATGCCGTACTCTGATCTGACCAGTTTAAGTTGTTTCCCAATACATATCTGCTTCACTAGGTCTCCAGAAATGCTAACCTAAAAATGATATCACTTACACTCCGTTTGATGTACTTTCACCGATCACTTCACTTGTGAATAATGAGCTTCAATGATAATATAACATACAAAATGAATGTACCATTCTTTTTAAGCTGAATTCCATTAAATAACAGTTGGTTAATTTAATTTACTAGTTAATCGGTATTTTATTTACTGTAGATGATATTTACCAACAACTTCGATGGTGCTGTTTACAAGAATATGAACAATTAGCTCGTTCTGGAACAAGTTGTTTGGAAACCTTAATTTTATCTAATGGTAAACGATTCAATGATAAAATTTGGGAATCAACAGTAAATTTAATTGTTGATCTCTTCAAATCTACAGTACCCCATCAATTGCTAACATGGCGCCCAGTAAGTGTAAATCAGTCTTCTTAGTAATACTGTAGTGAACAAGAACACGGGTAGGGACAATCGAATGTGTTTAACACAAAATTACAGGACTTGTTAATCAAATCTAACAGTCATAAAGTAAATGCTTAATTCGCAAAATGTCCATCGATTGTCTCAAAGTAACTCAGACTTCATTGTTCTTGCATTTTCATGCAAATTGCATTCTGTTTCCATTATTTACTGTTCGATCCTCTTATGTCTCTGCTGCCAGACCTGTTCACGACCAACATCATATACTACTTATGTCAATATATGTAGCACACACCACAATACGTTTAATCTAATATTATTCAAGATTCTGAAATCAATTTTGAAATCGGATGAGTAGAAATTGTAATTTTTTAATCATCTTATCATAATTAGATGTCAATTTGATATAATTTAACGAATAGGAAGCATTAGACAACTGTTTTTATTTTCACCAGGTTCCTTATAACGGTTTAATCTGGTACATTCACTTATATTGACAAGAATGCTTTTGGGTTAGATTCAACAGATCAGTGCATTTTTAGTCACAATTATTTCATGATAAAATTCATTTGCTTTCTAATTTTTCCAGCACTTGTTCTTTCGAACGTGTTCAGCTCCAGGAGGATAGGTTTGATCTCCAACGAGCAATTTTGAATTTGAAAAGTTCTTGGATTAGTAAAAAGCTCATGGTACCAGTCTTTTGATCTTCGATTTCTCAATGCTTAGTTACGTTCTTCAAATATTCATCCCTCGTTTGTATAGTTATGTTTGAGTTAGAGATTCTCATACTAAATTCAACCTACTAGCGAATATTGCTTCTGAGAAAATATTTATAGTCGAAATGTTTTTCTTTGCTTGACAAGATCTTAGCATACTGTCAAGATAAAACTTCCTTTTATCTACCTCAAATTAATTATGCTGTAAAATACAAAGTTTGAATATTATCCATCAAGCAAGCGGTTATTTTCATTTAATCATGTTAATTATCTTATTTCACGTGTGATATAATTCAGGAAACTGTCAAATAACTTTGCCATCAAATAAGCATCTTTCTAAATCGTGGAAGTGAACTTTTTAAGTTGGTGGCATAGCTTTTTGTAATACCTAAGATGTTTTTCCTAATTCACCTATCAAGTACATACGTTTTTTCTACTTAATTTTTAATCACAATCTTATTGGATGCGAGTACTGCCCAAAGCTAAATAGGTATAACTAAGTCCAAACTCGCGATCTAGCTATTTCAAACTGAATGCTTTAACCATTTAAAAACCTGCAGTTTTCTTACTGTATCAAATATCATTAATGGTATACTATTTGCATACATACTTTGTTTAGAAACACTTCATAGAAGTTATATTTCAGTGTAGTTATGACACAAACCGTGCCACTACATCCAACTTTGTATCCCTAGGGAAATAGCTAGTGTTTAAAGTGCCAAATAAATTTCATGTGTTTGTTTATTTATTTATTTTCATTATTGTAAATAGGAACAAATGCCAATTGAGATCAACGATCAAACTATGGCTACATCATTTGAAAATACCAATCAACAATCTATACCTGGCCATGTTGCAAGAGCACATTTATTCGCTGATTTACTCAATAAATGTGTAGTACAATATGAATTAATACAAACAGTTGATCATATTTTATTTTATTCAGCTCACAGTAGAAATGAAGATATTCACTATTTACATGAAGCACGTCGGTTAGCTGTTGCATCTTATCCAGCATTTGAAGTTGCTTTACAAGCGGCTACATCATCAAACCAACCAACATTATTCAATTCGCCATCTTTTCTTACTAAAGATAGCAATAGTAATAATAATACAGGAAGTAGAATATCAGTAGATATCATTAATCATGATTATTCGAGTACAAACAAAACTATAACTAATCATAAAGATGATCTACGTAAGTGTATTCTTATTTGTTATTCTCTCGCTTAAAATTTCTCCTTTCTTAGTCATATAAGTTTACTGAATCATCGTATAAAGTATCAGTTTCTTTCGCAATTTTTTTTTCGAAAACAGAATCCGTATTTTCATAGTCGATCTACACTAGATCACCATTGAAAAATAGAATAACTAGACGGCCGATTCGTCCTAGTATGGGACTCCTCAGCAGTGCACATCCACGACCACGCACTTGGGACCGGATCCCAGGACCTTCGGTCTTTCACGAGAACGCTTAACCTCTAGACCAGTAAGCCGAGACCCGATGGTGCTAATGTCTAACTTTAATCGATCCATGATCTTGCACAACCCTTCATCCATTACCTGAAGTGAATAACTGCTTCCATCTTACATGGATTGGACCCCACTGATCACGGCTTCTCACTAGTAACTCCAAGGGTTACATCTTGAAGTTAGTCACTAGTGAGCACATGATTATTGTCAGTATGGAGATTTATGCAGATTGTAGTATTTTCACAGTTGAAATCACGATACCGGCTCAGTGGTCTAGAGGCTAAGCGTTCTCATGAGAAACCGGTCTCGAGCTCGAATCCCAAGTGCAGGGGCATGAATGCGCACTACTAAGGAGTTCCGTACTAGGACGAAACGGCCGTCTAGTGCTTGCAGGTTTCAATCGTAATTTACTTTCGATCGACTCCTGATTTCAACTGTGAAAATACTAAAATCATATTATTAATCACAGCAAATATGATTAAGATCAGTGTCTGAAAACTGAAAGTCATTTTTGTTCAACCTTTCTCCTGACTAATTAATCATGATAAACTGTTATTTAGGGGTTAGTTTTATAATCGTCGTTAAAATAATGACCACATATTAGAAGAACCCTAGTTAACAATATTCACTACAGTAGAAAATATTTGAAGTACAATAGCCGGGCAAAATAAAGTAGAATTATAATCAATTTTTTGGTAATTAGGCTTATTGTGATAAAGTGAATTAATCCATCCATCCATTATTATTCTTTGTAAAATGAATTCGCTTCTATGAATGCCCTATACTCATTTTGTTTTTAAGTTCACTGAATGTAACATCTAGACTGATGTCGAAAACAGTCCAGATCCTATGACTCCTAAATTTATCATGTAGTTATGCATAGCTTCCTTTGTATTAGGCATTTTCATTATCTATGTAGTGCATTGAACAATTTACTTTATAAACTATTCCATGGTTAGATTCATTTCGTTATTAACTAAGTAAGCAAGTTATAAAAAATTATTGTAATAAGTCTTATTATATTGCTTAGTATATAGCTCAGTAGCGAAGTAAATTTGCTAATGAACCATAGTTTTCTCAATTCAAAGAGTATATCATGCTTCTGTGAGATTATTCAGAAATGATTATTTTGATAGTCACATATTGCCTCTGGAGCGTTTGAATAAGATCTGGGCTATGCATTCATTTATTTATTCTAAATAAAATTGTTTTCTTCTCAAACATGTGGCTTAGTGAAGTAGTAAATTGATTGCAAATATTGTCTCTGACTTGATCGGTCTAAATTGTTCTTTCTGAAGTCTAGTTTATTTGTGATTCATTCTTTCTGTCGAACTCAATAAAACTTTACCACTATTTTTTCTATTGTAGGCATTTTAGATTCTTCTGAAAACCTTAGTGTACTTGAAAATGAAAAGGCTAGTACTCAATTCTTTTTTGAAACTAATCTAAATAATACGACTCAGTTAGTCGGAGCTAGTCCGTTACCGTTTGATTCCCGAGGTATGTATCCTCATTTGTCACCGCAACAACGTTTTACTTTGGCAAAGTGTCTGCTAGATTCACATGCATTCGCTAAAAAATTTAATTCAGATGATGAACAACGAAATATTCTATTTCAAGCAGGTTAGTTTTTTCTTATGTTTTTTATGATAAGCTGTCACTGATAATAACGTATTTCTAACAAATTTTAAACGTTGTATACTCACTCATGGATGTATGCAATTTAAATAGTGAAGTACCATTTTTATTGAACAAGGAAACATTTCAGTAAAACCATTGCTTGCAGCATACAGCATTATATGTCCTACGTTGTGAAGCTTTTGGAATCAAATAATTAAGTTGACTCCTACACAATATTTTTGCTTCTCCCTTAGTACTCAATCTGCCACTTGGTCTCATTTCAGTAACTACAGTCATGATTAAGACACACACACAGTTTAGTAACGTTACTGATAAAGCCTGTTATTTTGCTTCAGTTTATGTTACTTGTAAGTTATAAATTATCAGGATGCTATTAACCAAACACGCTGGTTAATTAAAAAGAAATTAAACAGTGTAATTCATTCAATAGCTACTATGCTTCTATTATGCATTAGGTTTGACAAATTTTGAACCATTCATTTTAAATTTTGGAATTATTGTGTTTAATCGTTGCATGGGATCCACTTTTTTTTCTTTAAAAAAAAGCAAACTTTCACAAGGACAACAGATCCGTCGATGGAAATGTTTTAATAAGACTAAATTTGCGCCTTTTTCTCTATGCTATCCCGGATTACAGTACTTTGATGTTTAAGTAGGCATCACATTTTTTAACCAGCTTGGTTTGTGATATTTGTTATTGTCCTACACTCTCCTAAGCATTTCATGGCTGTTTCAGTAGCCTTATAAAAATATATGGAGGGCTTGGGAATAAACATATAATCACTAGTCCTGACACATAGAAAAGTCTAATTGCACAATAGTTAAACAATAATGATTACATCAAATTGTAATAAAGTATCATTAGCTGATTGAACTAATTTCAAAAGGCAGATTCATTAACCAATTTATTGACAATATCTCTTGTAAAATTAAAATTGTTATTGATATACTAAATATTCATTCGACATACCGTAATCGGGTTACTGATTGATCAATTAATTATTGATTAAAATAAAACTAATAAAGTTCACAAGGTGAACAATAGAACTACTCAATCTTTGATTGTTTTAAATCATATATTATGAAGAACGTAGGGTATTAGGGAATGATAGTAAATCAGCTGGCCAAACCAAAACGTGGTATAAGTCTCAGTCCTTTAAGTCACTAACTTCTGGTGTTAGCCATGTTGGTAGATGCAGACTACTTGGTTGGGGTCCGCGCAATTATTGTAACCAATGGTTGGAGACTCTGGGTGACATGGCCCAGAATCGATCATAATGGCGTTGGTGTATACACTGTTTGTCTTCCCTTAAACCATGAGTTTAAAATTGCTTTATACCTTTCGTTCTACGAACTAATTCTTTCTTCCTGTTTCATATCCTTATACACAATCTTTTATATATTACTACGATTGAAGTGAATACTTCTATGAATTTGTTGATCTTGTTGTGCTGATAAGGTGTGACAACTTGGACAGATGCATATATGTGCCTAGTCTTATGTTGTAGCTGACTGACTGATATGAAAAACCAATTGAAAATGAATTTCTTTGCTCTAGTCGTTTTCTTTACTAAATGTGAAAATGGGAATTTTTCACTATACCACATGTTTACTTCTGTCGTACCATCTTATCCTTTTCACAACCAGTCTGCTAGCGATCAGTCAGAGGTGGGAGTTCACTACCTTTAAAAAAAGACAATACAATTTTATCTTTTACTCATGGTCAATTGTTCTCGTTACTTAATTACGTATTTTTTCCTTGTTTGTTGTCTGGAGAAAATTGATTCTTTTATTCAATAGTCATTTGGATTATTGTGACGTTACGTAATCACAGTGATGAAACAAATGCAATATAAATCGTTTGTAGCAAAATTTTGATGTACAAATTAGAAATTTCTCTCTTTTGTGAGAGTTTCATCTGTACTTCCACTACCTTTTTTGATTTTTGAATGTTGCAGCATAAATTAAATTGTAACTACTTTATGAGCATATTTGTTTATATTCATTTCTGAATGCTTTTATTATTATTATTGTTTTTATGAGAGTAGATATCTATAAAATTTCATAATTTTCCTAATTCCAATTAATTGTTTGTTCTAGGCTTCAAAGTTAAAGCTAAACCGAATTTATTAAAGCAAGAAACACATAGTTTATTATGTGCTTTGCGTATACTATTTCGTTTAGCTGAAGAAGCAAGTGATATACGTGAAAAAGTGAGTAATAAATGAATTAATTTATTCATTATAAAATTTCCCGTAGAATAATTCAAAATAGGGAATGGTTATGCTAACAATAGCTTTCTATGACTTCATCATCATGCTCTACATGCAAAGATGAACAGTGGTCAGCAGTGTAATCCAGGACGCGCGTCTCGTCCTATTCAGGACTCGTCAGCTGGATGTGCCTGCAGCTATTGGGACTCAGTATCTAATTGGATAACGTGATGGCGTTTGAAGCGAACGGTACTGGGTTTGAGTCCCAGAGTGAACATCAACTCTGAGATGCAAGTACATCCAGCTGACGAGTCCCGAATAAAACGAGATGCGCATCCTGGATTCTGCTGTTAGCCACTTTCCTTCTTTGTTTATAATGTTTGTGAATGAAGGTAATGCGCACGGTATGCACCTATAACAATAAGAGACTGGTCAATTGCAGTCCCAAACATCAGTGGGAAGATTCAGGTAAACAATACCAAGTGAATTCAGACTCTACAGTTATAAGTCCATAATAATTGTGATATTTTAAAAAGACTAAAACAAGCCATGCATTAATGAATTTTACAACATTATATGTTAAAAATAGTGAACTTTTTCATTTGTTACGACATAAATACTTCAGGATCGTGTTATTTGTAAGTTAGAAAGTTCATATAATAATAAAGGTCAGAATGGTTCGAAGTAGTGTCAAGTTAAAATAAATCGTTTGAATAAAATGCATAGTATGGGAATTTCACCTGATCTTTCTAACTTACAACTAACACAATCAGGAAGTATTTGTCGTAACAGATTAAAAAGTTTACTATTTTTTAACATATATCACAATAATTATTAGCTCTGTAACTGTAGAGCCTGATGATAAAGTTATAGACAACAATTGTCAGCTTAACTATTCCCTGTTTTTGAATTAATTTCTTGTTTGAGTATTTTTTTATAGATATTTCCAATTTTCATTGATGACATTCTGAAATGTAGTATATATATGGTGTACTCTCAGAGATATTCTTCTGTCATAAAAAATTGACATCAATTTTAGTGATTGAATGTTCAGAGTTGTTAAGTTTTCAATTAGTTAGTCTCGGGTTCTAACCTCTCAATCTGTCTGTCACCTACTTCGACTTACGCAACTGAGTGTTGTCACTTTTCTTCACATTTACAAAATGTGACCCAAAGCTAGGTATATAAAACCGTACTTGATAAATGAAGTACGAAACATTTTAGTTACGTTATCGGTTCTTCAGTTGAATTTTTAGTTTCATCCTCTACCTTCAACATATGGTTACAGTTTCTTTCTTTATTCAAACGATTTTATCAAAAAGTACATGTGAAGACCCCATTGTAGATAGTTGGGGTTCACATAGTTATTTTAACGAATAAATCGATCTTGAGTTCTGAAATTATTTGGTATTTTTATTCCATTGAGTCATCCTTTCATCTCGATTCATTTTGTCTACACCTATTCTTTTCTACTAATATCATTGATACATTTACTCTTTCATCAACTCTTGTGTCACAACATGAAAATCAAATTAATTTCTTATGTATAACTAATAATTTACTCTATATTTATACAAAGTAAATATTTTTTTATCACTTTAGAGTTATGAATATTGTTAAATCTCATTGGAATCACTTGATTGATCTAAGTTAAATAACCATCGAAAACCTTAAAACACTAGATAGTCATTTCATTCTAATATGAGACTCCTTAGTAATACTTTATATTTGCTTTACACTAAAATAATGAATAAACCGTTTAATTTCTTTCTTCCTTTTACACCTCTTTTTTTATGAATAGGCTGATGAATTATTGGACCATGTAATATTGGATGCTTTTCATTATTACCATGGTTTAGTTATTGATGGACATCGACATGCATGGGATCCTTGTTTAGTATTAATTATTACACAATTAATTCAATTATCACCTTCATCAAGATTTCATAAACATGCTACTTGTCTATATCCTGGTCTGTGTGATTTAGTTGCAATGGCTGGTGGTATTTCACCACAAGTTGCTGCTTTAATGCGTGTTTTTCTGTTACGTTGTGGAACCTTCTTCATACCTATAACCAGTGGTGGTGGTGGTAGTAATAGTAATAGTAGCAATAGTTGTACGAAAATGGAGAATTCTTCATAAACAGTGTAAATTTACATATGTATCTTTGCGTTTTGATTAATTACGATATAATTCATTTGAAGTATACTGGAGTGCCAAAGAAATATCTATATGGGTGGTGGGATATACATATATCTATGTCTGATCCAATAATTTTATTTATTCTATCCATTTCTCTTATATATTTATCTTTCACAATTTTCCTATTATTTTTCATTGTTTTCCACTATTAAAAATCTTATTATAGAAAAGCTTAAGAATATATCATCATAATCATTATTTTGTTTACTTGTTTGTGCACGTATATGTGTTGTTCTTTCTTCTTCTTTTTCAAATGAAGTTCTCTTTAGATTTACATTCCATAAGATTTGTGATAAACGTCGATTAGTATCCCTTGTCTTCATCTTCTCCTTTTTTTTTATAAAGAAAAACTAATTATTTTATTCGAAATTATCCATGAATTCCACTACCCTTAACACGTATCATTAATTCTATTTTATTTGTCAATTTTGTCGGGGAAAAAAATATAAGAAAAAACACAATTATTATAGTCTACATCAATATGAATTTATTCAATAATCCAGTGCCTTTTTGATAAAATTAAAGTTTTGTGACTGAACGACTTACAATGATGATGATGATTTGGTGTATTGTTTTTGTGATGCTTATCGTTCAAATTAAAACAAATCACTTATTATATTGTGCTTTATTTTTTGTTTGTTTGTTTGTTTATTAAGAAAAAAAAACAAAAGATAAACAATTAGTGAATAATTGTTTCACTGTTTTGTTGATATTTAATGGCATAACTACTTATTGTCTAAATGAACAAATGAAAATACTTTACCCTATTATTATACATCTTTTATTCTTTTCATTGCATATCATTATTATATGTTGTTCATTGTTATTTTCTCCATTATTGATCATAATTATCATCATTGTATGTAAGTAAATGAAGAATAATGATAAATATTCTATTACATAACTACTGTAGTTGTTCACGTGTTAAATTTTCTCTTGTAATTTAATTAATTTGTTTCCCTTGTCAATGGCTGTGCGATTTCACTAAGAAATATTCATCTTTACACTGATTTTCGTCCTTTTTTTTGCGTGCATTCCCCTCATTTATTCACTAACTGGGTTTTGTCTCTCTCATCATGTTGTGTTTTCTTTTTTTTTTATGTGAATATTGTATTATATTCTTTTCGGATAACAATTTCTAATCTAGATTTAGACAACGTAGAACATTCTTTTCTGGTTCCCTATCCATCACTAGTACAATTATATAATTGTCATCAGTTCCTTGTATTCATGACAGTGATTAGTGGTTAGCTGATTACTTAACTGTTGTTATTGTTATCGTTTGTATTGTCACCAATTTTCTTGTATTATTTTCAAATTTACTGAAACATGTAACCCTGTTTATTTATTTATTTGTTTTCTCTCAAATGTTTCTTTGTTTATTCTCCGGAGATTTGCTGTGTGAATAATTTTGTTCTGTTTGTGTATTCATTGTAGGCTATTCGTTATTTTATCGTTTTAGAGCAATAAAAAGTTACCTATGATTATTGTTATCATGATTATTACTATTGTTCTTACCATAGTGATGACTGTTCTTTTGAATATTATCTTTTTAAAATAATAACAATAATCGTCCAGTGTAAACAAAAAGTTCATTTATAAAATTAAATAATTTTTCTTATTATTATTTCTTATTTTTGTACTGTGTAGGTAGCACTTTATAATTTAACCTAAGCAATGTTAACTCGGTTGTTCCACAAAATGTAAGACACCAAACCTTCAGGGTTGGTAATACTTCTAAAGTAAATGAAGCTTTCAATAGCTTCAAGTACCTCACTGCCTTGAAGCAAATTATCCAAGTATGGAAGATTAGAAACAGAGACTATAGTTGTAAAAGCATAAAAATATGAGAAATATTGAAACCCGTAATCTAGAGGGAAATGTTTATGTTCTAACATGACCGATTTTGAGACGTGTCTCGTAAGATCTGTCCAATTTATTATCGCGATTGTCACTCGGATCCCAACCAATTAGTCTGAACTCACCTAGACAGCTCAGAAGGATTTTACTTGATGTAAGGTGGTTTGAGGTGGTCATTATGGAATCCTAAACTTATGTTTCGTGCCAGTCGACTCGCATCAGCAAAACGTAACTTCAGTCTTTAAGGAAATTGTGCTTTCTATGAGGTTCAAACCTGTATACCTCATCTCTACACTCTAAGAAAGTGCCAGCGAGGTATTCGAAATGTATTGTTTACAATACTCAGCCCCTTAGTCTGGTGCGCACATCATAATTTGATTGATAGAATACAATCAGCGCTAGTTACAAGACGAATATGAAATTAATCACTATTTAGTAATCAGTCAAGTTTCCACACTACCGAGAATTTCATTTTGTAACATTGCATCTCAAACAGGAAATTTTATTAGGTTGTATTATCCTTTATTTTGTTGGCCAATTTAAGGATTTCTCGACCTAATCCCCGACCAACATAGTATATCGGTTTGTTCATGATTAAACGTTTTACTCATAAGACATTCATATACTAAACAGTTTACTTGCCTTAAATTTTGTATTTAACTTTAACAGTATTCACAATATTTCCACTGCAAGGTTTTGGTACTTAAAAAATACCAACTACACGAACAATATATAAATATTTTTCGCTTGTCATGATCACTTCACGGTTTAATAGCAAAATATAATGAACTCTCAAGGCGAATATTGTCAATTTTGACAGACACTTGGATATCTCTTCTGTCATGTGGATTGGTGAGCTCGAAAAAAATCTATCAAATCCTCCCAAAATATTGACTATAATGAAACAGTTTACTTCTTATTTCGTCAAGAGTTTAACCATAGCATTTTCGAACAAGAATTTTATTTAATAAAGTTACATAAATCCAAATATATCTGTCTTATAAATGAATTAACGAATTCAAAGATAATAGAATAACTCAACTGACTACAAATAAAGAATGTTGTATAAAATGTCATGTTGAACTTTTAATGCTTATTGGTGGTTCATTTTAAGCAATCTACATTCAAATACAGATGTTATGTTTACAGTTCAATGTGTAAATTGATGTTTAATTACGATGTTGTGATGTAAATCTACTTTGTTGACGTATATGATAGAATATAAGGATAGATATGATGATAATTAAAACAATGATAATTGGTAATAATGTACTTAGTGTTGCAATGAATGCATATTGAATATTTTGTGATTTCTGATTATTATGGATAATATTATTATTATCAATATTAAATTCATTAGGCTCCTCCCAACGACCATTAATTTTTCTAATTATATTACCATTTTTATCATGTATTTCATTTGAACTTGATTCAATGAAATTATTTGAATCACTTAGTTTAAATAAATGTGAATCAAATGAAAGCTATTTTCAAAATAAAAGAATAGTTATATGGTAAATATATGTCTATAGAAGGATAGGAAAAGATTGCATCATAAAGTGATTTGAGACTACAATTATCAAGTGAGTTTACGTAATAATCAGTGGGTTAGGGAAGGATCGAAGGATGAAAATAAATTACGGGTTATATTTGTTAAGCGGTCTATTATCTTCCATAATTCTGACTAGTAAATTTATAGAAAGAAGGCATTTATCAAATTATGAAGTAGATACCTGTCTCTACCCGACATGGATTGAACTCCACTGGTCACGGTTTTTCACAAGAACTCCAGGAATTCATCTTGAAGCCAGTCATTAATGAGTACATAATGATTATGATCAGAATGGGGATCTGTGGAAACTGTAATAATCTTAATAGCTGAATTAATGAGTCGATGTAAGCTAGACCACCATTGAAAATCTGGAGGAGCTGGACAGTAGTTTCGTCCTAGTATGAGACTCCTCAGTAGTGCACATCCACGATCCCACATGCGGGACTCAAACCCAGGAACTTTGGTCTCGCGCGCGAATGTTTGACCTCTAGACCGCTATTAAAGTGACTACATACATCCAATTAAATCATACCATGAAAATAAATATTTTAAATGATACTTCCAGATTACTGGAGAATAAAAAGTTGAATAAAAATGAAGTAAATAGTTTAAAAATTAATCTTATTAAATTGTAATGAGAGCAGAGTAAATTTTAATAGAGTGATACACATTGTTTATTTACGTTACCAAGATAGTTGAGTATTAATCATCTACATTTCCCAAATACAAAGGTTAAATTAATCCACCTAGTTACTATTGTTTTCAACCAATCTAAATAGGATGAGATTATTCTATTTATTGATTATTTCAACTAATATTTTAAAAGAATCAACTCATAGGATTATACAGTAATAATAATTCGATTGTACACAATTTAGTTAGTTCGAAGTAAATGTATTCTATAAAATTTGTAGATAATTAGCAAAATAACTCTGTGAGATGTATTTGAAGATTATCAATGAGTGGTTAACTTTGGTTGGTTAAACAATATTTTGTTATACTTCGAAATACAATCACCTGTGGTTATGTATTTAACTTACAGCATTCACTTCATATTGATTATATATTGTAGTTACTATGTAAAGTCCACATACCTTATTCTAGCTTTCTAACAGGCCAATCTATTCGTTCTTGATTCACATTTTGACCTTGTAACTTATTCGCTTGTCAACCTTGACTACTTTTATGTAAGCGTATGTTTCGATAATGTAATAAGAAGACGAAGATTATCAGAATTATGTGATATATTAGCGCAATACATTTCGAACAATCTGATCACAAATATACTTGTTAAGAGCATTTATATATATACATCACCTTACCATTCAGGGGGTGATTCAAATAGCCTTTTATTGAAACAAAGACTTTAATCAGTTATCAACAAAACGTATTGCGCAGCAAAGGTCATTATCAAAGAAAGAACAAGGTGCATGTTTCATCACAAACCTAAAAGACATGAAAACAATTGTGTCACATCCCACTGTGTTTACCAATTTAAATGTGTGTGTGGTCACACATACATAGTGAGGAGCAATCGTGAACATGTACCAAAATGGGTGTAGAAACAAATACAATCAAGTGACCCAATAAGAGTAGAGGATAAACATCCATCATCCTCTGTTGCTAAACCTATAAGTGAAAAGGGCCATACGAAATTTCAAACCCCCTTTGTGTTCAAAAACAGTTTGTTCTTACGTTAAACCTACCCTGATAATATTGACTTATTATCCAGAGTGATTAGGTTTCGAATTGTGTTCACATTATTATTACTCTTATTATTATACTTATCTCCTCTTACCCCATTTCCAGTCTAGTTGACCTTTTATTTTTAAATATAAATGCTCTTAACAAGTATATGTGTGATCAGACTGCTCGAAATGTATTGCGCTAATATGTATATATATGGATTATCCACACTGAACCCCTACATTTATTGATACATTATCCTTAATAACATAGTAAACTGGAAGAAAATATAAAGACACATAGGGAAAGATATCGTTTTAAACCGTTCAGTCAGTGACTTTTAGGCAGGAGTTTCACATTTCCTAGTTGATTTCCGTAAAATAATCATAATCTATGGTTTGAAATGACTAGGAATCAATCACAATTCTATCAATTCACATCATTTATGTCTTTTTTTCCCAAATCTTGATTCTTAACATTATCTTATACTTTTTATTATAGATCGCCTTTATTTCTTCGAAAAATATTTAGTGAGTTATTCAATATTTCCTTTACCGAAAAAAATTGTAAATCTACAGATTCCTAGGTGTCATTACCAAGGTTTGATTTGATGCATTGTTCCGTTGTACTATTTAAACTTGGATTAATTTTAATTTGGTTATTTATGCTCTGAAGAAGTGACTTACACTAAGTCACGAAACGTCAGAAAATCCAATTTTCTACTCATTGGGATATTACAAACATATTATTCTTATTTATCTACAGATTCCTGTTTATATAACAGTATGAACTTATAAAGTGATGATCCAATTCTTTTACAACTCAGTTACCAAGTTGTCTTTTACTTATGCTTTGAACTATGCGTTTCATGCACAACCAAGTTATATTGCTCTATTCTTCAAATCAAATTTAGTAAAGAGATATGTAAACATACATTTCAGTGGTTAAAAATCAAGTCATTCATAATTTTAAAGTGCATTTCTACCGTGCAATACACTGAGTAATCACGTTGTTTTTCGTATGTTTTACAACTACTTAGTACATATCCTGGTTTAATGGAATTTAATGGCTGTAATTAATAAACAAGGTGTTTAAAATACACTAAAATAGTGTTCATATAATTATGATCTAAATACACCTGTTACATAATCTAGTGTCGTTTACTGTGTTAAGCCCATACACCTTGTTCTAGCTTCCGAACAGGCCAATCTATTCATTCGTCTTGAGTCATATTTTGATCTTGTTAATTATTCGCTTACCAACCTTGACTATTTTTATGTAAGCGTATATGCGTGAATTTCTTATCTTAATAATAACGTCTGTTAATTATTTTGTGTGAATATAATTATCGATTAACGATTGATGAAATCGAGTTGGCTTACACGCCTTCTCTTTGCTCGTTTATCTGAATCAACGGTTGTACAAAGTACACTTCTTCGAAATTCGTTCTCGTATTATTTAATTCCGTTATTCACTAACACGATTTAAGTCAATAATAATATACAAGAATAACCAGGATGTATATTTCG